GTTTTCTCATTTGTTTTTCATTTGGTGGCTTGAGCTCAACCACTCTTACTCTCAGAACTGTGATATAAACAAAACACTACCGGCTGTTTTTTAAAGGGGAGGAGCTATTATGTGTCCCGCTCTGTCTTTATGTTTGAGATTATGTCAAATAAAAAAAATATATAAAAAAATAAAATAAAATGAATTTTTCAAAATAAAAATGAACAAAATAGGCTCTATAACAATTCTGGCCTTTCCGAAAAATAAGTGGTGTCACCTGTTCCTCAGAAACCTCCACCTCCATGTCTCCAGCATCCTCCTCGGCTCCAGTGATCCAGCGCTCTGAAGGGGAAACAGTGAGGCTGTGCTGCAGTAACTTCAGCTGTCTGTCCCACAGATCCTGCCTCTGACTCTTCTGCAGCTCCGCCAAAATTTCCGCCAGGTCAAACGGATCTGCTCCATCCTTCTGCAGCACAAACAGAGGGAAGAAAATAAAATGTCCCTCTAAGTAAGAAACAGTCATTTCACAGCTCTTTATTAAATCCAGGAATTTTCTAGTAACTCTGAAGACTCTCCACATAGCTGTTGTGTCATTATTCTAAACATAATACAATAATCTTAATATAAGTAAATGTATCAGTAATAATGTCAAAACTCAAATTTATTTGCAACTGGTTTCTTTGAAATTTCCCAGGGTGGTTTCCACTTTGTGCTGCAGTAAATATTATTTACTCTTTGTTCTAGAATCCAAACAGCAATCCCTCACACTTCAAACACACCATTTGGAAAGTTATGTTTATTAAAATAAACATAACTGCTTTAAAATTTGATACATACATGTGTGTGTACAGGTAGTTCTTGCTGTAGAGCAAAAATTTCTCTACAGCTTGAAATTGCCAGGTTATTTAACGGAACTGAATCGACTATGAATTTATTATACATTTTAAAATACATCATATACACAATTACAAGTACATAAGGTCTTGTCAACATAGTCAGCTACTTATCCCCTCTTCAAAATAGATGATTACAAAGCAGATATGGATCAAAAACATGGACTCCTTTTACTTTCATTACTATTTGTTTATATTGTTTCTGAAAAAATAAAAAGGTGAGCCAGGTAAATTTAGCTCAATTGAAACAGAATAAGTTGTTAACAATTTAGTACTCTTAAATTAAACATTTCAAAACATTTGAATACAAAAAAATCATTTAGATTTTATTTTAAAATAAACACAACTGCTAATGCATTTTCATTTCAAATGTATTTTTGCACTACAATGGTAAGGCTATGGTGTACTTTCAGTACTCTTTAATTGCCTTTTATTTTAGCCAAAACTGCAAATTTGATATAAATAATCTTATATATTCAAAACCCACTAGAAGAGTAACGTTATAGTTATGTATGCAGTGTGTTGTTTTGTTGCATTCAGTGACACTGACGTGTAATTTGATGAAGTTCAGAAAGTCCTGGACGTGCTCATGATGGACAGAATCCAGAAACTGCTTTCGTTTCGACATTTTGCTGACAATCCTATCAGACAAAATAGATGACACAAATAAATATCGGTCAGTAATGCTGATATAAATATAGTATAACGTTATAATCTTTACATGACACATAAACATTGTGCGCAGTTTCTCCTTACCAGAAGTCAAAGCTAAATAGCAAGTTGTTTTCTTTACTCTGCAGGCAGTTTGTTTTCTAATCTACATCAGCACATAAGACAGCATATGGTGAATATTAACTTTCAGTCAGTTCAAACCTGTTAGTTTGTTTACATACAGAAGATCCTCAAATTCCGCAGCTGCGCCCGTTTCTGTATTCACCCGCTCAAAATTGAAAAAGCGTCGTGACGTCATGTGTAGTGTATCGCATAGAATGTATCGTCTCGTCATCTTGTGTTTACAGCGCCATCAGCCGTATGGGAGATTAACGGCGCTGCAGCCTAAATGTAATGGATTTTTTTGTAGTCTGTTAAATGATTACGTAAAGTAAAAAAAGTGCTCATTTGTAGAAGTTTCAACACGCTTTATACGTTAGTTGTTGTCACACAACCCCAGCTTGCCTTATTTCCTACGCTAAAATCAATTCTTGAGTGGTCAGTTATTGTCCACAAGATGGAGCCAACAGCTCGTTGTTTATTAAATGCAAGACACTGCAGATGAAAAAAAATCAACTTATTTCCCTAAAAGATTAGTTTCCAAAGGAAAATACACAATTTACATAATCTCTCATACAGAAAGAGACTTACAGATCTTGCATATGCTTGTATTAATTTATTCATTCATTCATTAATTTTATTTTCCCTTTATTAATCTGGGGTCGCCACAACGGAATGAACTGCCAACTTATCCAGCATATTTACGCATAATTTTAAATTTAAAAGTTACAATTCAAGACAAATCTGAGCATATTGGTAAAAATACTCAATCTTTTTACGCCAAATTAGAGGAAAAAAATCAGCCTGTGTTCTTAATGAAAAAGATTTTTTAAAGTTTTTCCATGACATATATCGTGCACAGTATCAACCCATTCTTCAACTGTAGGTGACTCTAATTTTAACATTTTTTTTGTATTTACTTTCTTACTAGCTGCAAGAGGAATAAATAACAGTTTTTTTTTTGTCTTTATTAATCCATCTATCTAAATTTATGTTATCTAAATATAAAGATTCATAAATGAAAGCAATCTCTACTTCAAATGTATTTTAATCTCTTTCCAGTTTGGGGTTATTTTCTGACAATCCCAGAAACATGATAGTGATTAGCTACTTTTTCCCCACACATTCTCCAGCAGCTGCCCCTTCCTCTGTGTATTTTTTGTGTTGATGTGATGAAAATCCTTAGAACATTTTTCCAACAGAATTCTCTCCACATGGCTGAGCTGGCACATTTCCATTGAGTTTTACATTCTCCCAATCCTCATCTGAGATATTTAGATTTCCTTCCACTTCCCATTTATCTCTAACATTAAGTGTATTGTCTGGTACAGTTTAACGAAATCCCATATACAGTTAACACAATTCTAACATTTTTGGCTCACCAACTTCTTTCCCTATAAAAACTTTGGTTGCTTTTGCAATAATAAAATAATTTTTTGGTCACCCAGCACAGTTGTTTCCGTGATCTTCCAGGTCTTTTGGTGTTTCTTTTTAAGAATGTTCCAAACAGTTGTTTTGGTCACACCTAATGTCTTTGCTATTTCTCTGAAGTTTTTTTTTTTCTGCCTAATGATGGCTTGCTTGGCTGACAGCTCTTTGGATCTCATCTTAAGAGTTGACAGAAACAGTTTCCAAATGCAAATAACACACTTAAAATAAACTCTGGATCTGCTCACTGTAATTGGGATAATGAGGGAATAACACACATCTTGCCATAAAACAGCTTAGAAGCCAATAGTCTAATTACTTTTGGACCCTTAACAAGTGGGAGGCACATATGTAAACTGTTGTTATTCCTACAGCGTTCACCTGATTTGGATGTGAAACCCTCAAATTAACGCGGACAGTCTACAGTTAAAGCATAAATTGTGTTATATTCCAAATCTATTGTGTTGGTGTACAGAGAAAAATGTTAAAATTGTGTCGATATTCAAATATTTATAGACCTAACTGTATAATTTAGAAATGATCCTATTACATGATTAGGCCTTGTCCACCCATAAAAACACTTAAAAAACACTCTCTGCAACTTTCAATATTTCTGATTTAATATTACAATAAATCTTATGTCTAGCTTATAGGTATGTATAGAAGTCACTTTGATAAAACCCTTATTTTTTTCCTGTAGAAATTCAAAAGTTTGGATTAAAAAAAAAGTGGAATATTGAGAAATTCCTAACTTAGTCTATATTCAAAATCTGTCATATTTGGTTAGGGATGTTCATACATTTTCAACATAAAAACTCAAGTTACTGTATGTATTACGTTTTGGGTATCCATTTTAACCATTCCATAATTAGGGGGAAAAAAGAAATGAATCCTATAAAATCAGCAAACTGTATGAATATACCTCTGTAAAACTTTAAAAATACAGATATGAATAAACTGTAAAGTTTAACATATTTAAGTGTTGCTGAACTGTTTTTGTAAAGTTTTGTTTGTTTGTTGGGTCGCGGGTGCAGCAGTCTTAGGAGAGAACCCCAGACTTCCCTCTCCCCAGACACTTCCTTCAGCTCCTCCGGGGAGATCCTGAGGCGTTCCCAGGCCAGCCAGGAGACTTAGTCCCTCCAGCGTGTCCTGGATCTTCCCTGAGGCCTCCTCCCGGTGGGACATTCCTGGAACACCTCCCCAGGTAGGTATCCAGGAGGCATCCGAAACAGATGCCCCAGCCACCTCAGCTGACTTCTCTCGATGTGGAGGAGCAGCGGCTCTACTCTGAGCTCCTCCCTGACGTCAGAGCTCCTCACCCTATCCATAAGAGTGCGCCCTGCCACCCAGCGAAGGAAGCTCATTTCGGCCGCTTGTATCTGAGATCTTGTCCTTTCGGTCATGACCCAAAGCTCATGACCATAGGTGAGGGTAGGAACGTAGATTGACCGGTAAATCGAGAGCTTTGCCTTTCGGCTCAGCTCCTTTTTTACCACAACGGACCAGTACATCGACCGCATTACTGCAGCCACTGCACCAATCCACCGTCAATCTCACGTTCCATCCTTCCCTCACTCGTGAACAAAACTGACTGACTATTTTTAATGACATTTTTTAATGTCATTAAAAAATAAAATACAAACTGATAAAGTGCCACAAAAGAAACATTTAAAAGTATTTTTTTAACATTTTCTTTAATTCAGACCAACAATTACATGACATTACAGTCTCACCTTGAATCATTTAAGTAATCAAAAGCAAAAGGTAAAAAAAAAAAAGTCTGAGATATGAATCAAGTTATATAAATTGGGATGGAAAAGCCATTAGATTTTGCTTATCAGATTTTTGAGCTATTGAATAATATCTTTTTTATCAGGATTAGACTTGTTTAATAATCAAATAATTCCTAACTAAAAAGGGAGGGCCACAACAGTGAGAATAATCTTTTATTCAGTTGCTTTAATACCTTCCATACAACCTTGTTAACAAAAACACATAAAATAAAAATGAAAACCATATTAAGGTAATAAAACGCATTCAGGCTCTTAATTTTAAAAAGGAGGCAAATCCCAGAGTGACAAAACATTTGCAGCTTAAAAATTAAGAACATCTCCAAGATAATCGCCTGAAAGCCGAAATTCCTCATGCGCTGATATGATATGTTTGGAAAAAAATACTCAAAGGTCCAGAAAAATTGGTGAGTGAACAAAGTCACAAGTGCAGTGTGATTCAAGTTAAATGTCATGTTTCTGAATAATCATGCTTGATGCATAGAGAAGAAGAAGGCTGGAAATCACACCAACAGCCGTTTCACAGTCTTAAAACAATCCATGAGCAAAACACTTTGTAATCAAGCTATTTTCTACTTACAAATATCACATACTATACCCACCATTTTGCTGTACCTGAAAAAACTCTTGCAAACAAAACGGGTATAAAATATTTCTGTACAGGAACAAGAAACAATGAAATACTTTTAAAATAAAGTATTATCAATGGATCATTTATGAAGAGCTGAACATCATTTCTGACAAGATTGTACATTACCATTTGTGGTAGTAAGAAAGCACAGCATCAAACCAAAACAAAGAAAAACAGTTCATACATACAGTACATATTTACATATGTAGCATCTTTCTTTCGAAAAAAAAATGACTGTGTGTTTTGTGTAACAAACTGAAACATCTATGACAAAAAGGTAATATATATTAACTTAAAATATGTATGCTACTGTTTGCATTCATAAATCTGATGATCTAGAGGTTTTCTTTTTTCTCAAAGTACATCTTCTGGCCATTTTTATTCAGCGAAAAGTCAAATAATGTGCAATAACGAATAAAACAAAAAACAAGCAGACAAAACAGGAAAGACTGTGAGCTTTAATCCTTTAAGAAATCGTGGGAAAGCAGAACATTGATGTTGACGACTGCAATTTGAGCTTTGGTGAGAGTGAGAGAGACTTTTTGTAGGCCAGTGTAAATCCCAATAGAAGTAGCCTGGTTTAGTTAGTCCAGCGCCGTTACTCTCCTGCTACTATCGCTTCTGCGTGATCCTGTGCGGGCCGCAACATGTCCCAGTTACCTGCTGTACCATTCATTTCTGCTTTCTTGCACGCGCCACTACGTCTGCATTAGTTTCTTTGCGCCATCCTCTGTCAGATGATACCTGAGACGCAAAGGAAGACTTGATTATTAAGGCGAACTGACAGGAGTGACTGTACTGTACTAACAAATGAGAAACACACCAATGAGTCCATCCTTTAGAAATGTCTTCACTTCCCAAGTCCACAAGTGTCTGTGATAAAAAAAAAACATCTGTGAGCCAAGAGAAATCCAACAATAAACAGAATAAGGATAAAACATTTTTGTTTTAACCTTGCCCAGCAGTAGCTTGTTTTTAGACAGCAGTCCTCCTCCGTTCTTGACAGCGATGTCTAGAGTCCGCCTGTGCAGCTCCACCATTGACACACTGAACTCAAAGCTGAAGAAAGCAAGACAACGGGAAAGTGTTACAGACTGTTGTTTGTTTAATATTCTACTCTACATCAATCTGTATACTTTAATTTCAATACTTTAATTTGCAGAGGTAATCCAGCATCATGAGAAAATTTCAGCAAGGGAGCTACACAAAGAAATATTTCTCCGAAACATCAGCAGTTGCATCACACTATAAAGCCTTGGTTGGTTTGGTTTGGAGGGTGAAATGTTTTTTAACTGTTTAATAAGACTTTAATATACAAGCAAACGTTTTGCAAAGAAACACGGCAAAAAAGATTTACTTACAGATTTGGTCTCATTTTCTAGTCCAAATATCATAAATAAATACATTCTTAAATAAAGGAACATTTTGTCTGGACAAGCAACAGATACTGTCTTGTTTTTCTGAAATAATAAGTCAAAATTAAGTGAGTTTTTTTTCTTAAGACTTGGGGTAAGCAAGATAATCTGATTTCAAAGCGACAACAAGATTATTTTGCTTACCCCACTGGCAGATGATTTAGCTTGTCTTAGGGAAATACAACTCAGTTAATTTTGACTAATTACAGTTGAAGTAAGAATTATTAGCCCCCTTGTTTACTTTTCCCGCTAATTTCTGTTTAACAGAGAGAAGATTTGTTCAACACATTTCTAAACATAATAGTTTTAATAACTTATTTCTAATAACTGCTTTATTTCATCTTTGCCATGATGACAGTAAATTATATTTTACTAGATATTTTTCAAGACGCTTCTATTAAAAACTGCTTTTATTCTAGCCGAAGTACAACAAATAGAAAAAATATTATCAGGCATACTGTGAAAATTTCCTTACTCTGTTAAACGTCATTTGGGAAATATATATATATATAAAATAATTAAAAGGGGGGCTAATAATTCAGACTTCAACTGTATTTCTGGAAACAAGACAATATTTTTTTGCTTGTCTAGAAAATGTCTCTTGATTTAAGACTTTATATCTTTGGACTAGAAACAAGACAAAAACAGAAAAAGCTGGGAAAAAAAATTCTAGAAATACATTACGTTTAATGTGAACAAGAGAGCAGAATTATGCATTACAGTAGTTTTTGAGATAAATTGTGATTGCGAATAACATTAAGTAATTAATAGTATTCTTTAAAAGTGTTATTTTAAATTACTTTATTATTTTTAAAATAATAAAAAAATGTAAGTCTCAGTGAAATCTAAATTTTGTTATTTTAATATTTATATACATATATATATATATACACACACACACACACATAAATATATATATATATATATATATATATATATATATATATATATATATATATATATATTAAGCCTTTTAATGTCATTTTAAGCTGTATAGAAGTGTCTTGAAAAATTTCTAGTAAAATATTATTTACTGTCATCATGAAAAAGATAAAATATATCAGTTATTAGAAATACGTTTTTAAAACTATTATGCTTAGAAATGTGCTGAAACAATCTTCCCAGAACAGAACAGAAATTGGGGAAAAAAATAAACAAGGGCGCTAATAATTCAGGGGGGCTAAAAATTCTGACTTCAACTGTGTATATATATATATATATATATATATATATATATATATATATATATATATATATATATATATATATATATATATTTTTTTTTTTTTTTTTTTTTTTTTTTCATTATAATATGTTAGTCTTACTGTAATCTATAAGCTAGCATTCTCTAGAACAGTGGTTCTCAAAGTGGGGGTCAGGACCCCCTGGGGGGTCGCGGGACAATGACGCGGGGTCGCTTGGTGATATCCAAAACTCAAATAAATTTTATTAAACTATTAGAATTACCATATTTTATTTATAACCGACAGAATATAGTTAATAGTTGCATTAAAGAAAAAACAACATAAAAATAACAATCAGCCATCAGCCTTTAATTTTAAAAGCAAAATGTAATTAAATCCATAAATTACTTTAAAAAATATGGCTAATAGACTGTTGCATTTTTGTGTTGTCAATAAGCTCATGTTTATATTTGCCTATAGTTGTGTCTGCAACGTTTACATATTTACAGTACAACCACCTTGAAAAATGGGGGTCGCAAGCCACTAATATGATTATTTTTGGGGTCACGGGCTGAAAAGTTTGGGAACCCCTGCTCTAGAACAGCTATACAATTTACTTCTGCCAAAATGAATCAACATTTTTTTTTAAATATCAAGTTATACAACAGTTTCTCATCAATTATAATATTTTTTTATTATTGTAAAGAATTTTTTGGTGGGTTTCTTACGACTGATCATAGATGGGGTTGAGCGTTTTCTTGAGTGTGCTGGTTTTTCTGCGGCCACTGCGGCTCTTGTCTGGTAACAGGTAGAGGCGGATGTATGGGTCTGAGCCATCTTTGTTCAATGCTATGAGGTTTCTGCAATTATGACACATGGGGAAACATATTCAAACAAGAAGTATTTTCACAGAAACCTGTTTTGTCACATTCAAACGCACAAATTCAGATCCGTTATTTGCTCACACTCGTGTGAATACTGAAATGACTTATCTCTGATCATCTACAAAAAAACAAACAAAAAAAGTTTGTTTAGACATAATTTAAGTGTGTGTACTGTGTATATGTACTGTGTACATGTATGTATGTATTTATGTATGTATAAATAATGGATCAATTGGCATTTCTGTGTGGAGTTTGCGTGTACTCCCTGTGTTCACATTGGTTTTCTTCGGGTGCTCCAGTTTCCCCCACAGTCCAAAAACATGCAGTATATCTGAATTGGATAAACTAAATTGGCCACAGTGTATAAGTCAGGGCATGTGATTAATCAAGAATAATCTTTGCCCAGCAAAAACAGATACACACACAACAACACCTCTCACTAGTACACTGAACATCTTAAGTGGTAAAGTAACATTTAGGCCAAAAATAATGTACACAATAACTGGAAGTGGTACTATAAAATGGACAGGAGAACTATATTTTTGGATGAAGGTTAATGTGTCTTCTCACCTGCAGGCATGAACCACTACGATAAGTTTATTCCTCTGCGAGCTGTGTCGGACAGTGAGCTGGACTTCTCCAAGCGGATACAGGTTCAGCCCAGAGCCACTGGAACACAGAAACAACAGATTACATATTGTCAAAATAATCGACATGAAGTCAATACTGAGTGGATACATCTATTAATTTAAAGGGTCAGTTTACACAAAAAGCATAATTGTACTCCTCTTCAAAGAGTTCTAAGATAGGACTACACAATATATCATTTTAGTATTGATATTGCAATGTGCACATCTGTAATAGTCACAATGCAATGTGTAATGTTGAGTCTAGATTATAAATGACCTAAAGCACACATGAGGTTTGAGGAGTGTTTAATAATAACAGATCAAACAGTTTGTAACTTTAATCTGCTGTGTACAGGGCCTAAATCGACCTGCAATTAGAGGGATACACAGTTAGCATTAGCTCTACTGTAAAAGATCTGGTTGTTATATTAGACAGCGATTTAACTTTTGAAAATCATATGACCCATGTCACAAAAACTGCCTTCTTTCATCTGAGAAATATCCCTAGATTGCAGCTCTGCACAAGTTGTTTGGCCAGAGTATAAATGGTCGTAACCAACTTGAGCCTGGTTTCTCTCTAGGTTTTTATCCTTCACTTTCACCATTTGGTGAACTTTTTTCCTTGCCGCTGTCGCCACTGGCTTGCATGGTTCGGGAGTACTAGAGCTGCGAATCGATGGATTTGCTCTTCAGTGTTTGGATTCTCAGCAGTGAATATTAAACCACACTGAACTGAACTAAACTAAACCTCTGAAAACTGAACTGACACGATTTCAATTCACTATAATCTTTTATGTGAAGCTGCTTTGACACAATCTAAATTGTAAAAGCGCTATAGAAATAAAGATGAATTGAATAAAGATACATCTTTATGAATTATTTATTAAAAGAAGATTGTACAGAGTAATTTTAGATTTGACAATTCAATTCAATTTTCACTGATTCATTAATTTTCCTTCAGCTTAGTTCCTTATTTATCAGTGATTGCCACAGCAGAATGAACCAACAACTATATTTTATGCAGCAGGTGCCCTTCCAGAGGGCCGTCTAGACCTAGTACTAGGAAACAACCACACACTGTCACATGCAATCATACACTACGGACAATTTTGTTCATCTAATTCACTTATACTGCATGTGTTTGAACTGTGTTTGAACTGTGGGGGAAACCGGTGCACCGGGAGAAAACCCACATGAACATGGGGAGAACATGCAAACTCCTCACAGAAATACCAACTGGCCCAGCTGGGACTCGAACCAGCGACCTTCTTGCTGTGAGGTGATAGTGCTAACCACTGAGCCAGCATGCTGCATTGACGATTCAATTTCTGTACCTAGTTGCTATTTGGCTCCCCAGACTATTAGGCATGAATTGTCTCACTTTAATCTTTGCTCTATTGTATTTATCGATACTTGTAATTTATTTTACAGAATAATCTCAATCCATTTACATTATTGCATTCTTTCCAAAAGGAGCTATTCAAGCCATCTGGTGAAATAGTATTCATACCACAATATATAATATTATATACATCACGGAAAAACAAAATACCACAATGTCAGATTCATCAAATATCATGGTGTCTAGAGTTTCCTTTATCTTGTCATTGAATACTGAAAAATACTAGTATCTTATTACCACTGATTACTATAGAAGGAAATACCATAATATTCCAAATATCTTCTTATTGTGCTCAACAAAACAATAAAACATATATCGGTTGAAGAGAGGATTTCACTTTTGGGGGCATTTTACCTTAGGCATGTTCCTGCTGCTGTGGATGATTTCCTTAATGCATTCCATCTTCAATGAATTAATTATTTTCAACCTCTACCTGGATAGATTGTGGTATTTTAAACTCACACTGACAATCCAACCATTCTTCCTATTGTTTTTTTTAAAGTGTAATTTGAATACAATGTGCTAGCATCAAATAAAAAACAAGGAAACTAATGGCATTTAATTGATCTGTCTTCTTTGTGAATTTCCCAATGAACAGATTAATCTCTTTACTTCTGCATACCAACTACAGTTTAATTGTGGTATTTGTGACAATGGCAACCTCAGGTATGTCATTCAGTGTCTAATTTAAATGCCAGACTTTGACAAACCTGACAAACTTTGAGGATTTTGAAAAGTAAACAACAACAGCAATAAATAAATAAATAAATAAATAAATAAACAAACAAATAAATAAATAAATAAAAACATCTTATGTTTTACAAATAATTGAGAATATGCATTGATTAATCAAGTTGCTGTGGTAAAATTGAGTGTTTTATGGAGGATTTTATCTGTAAGCTCTGAAGTTTTCACATGAACAAAGTTTATATTTAAATACAGAATTGCACCTCGTGACTATTTTAAAATGTGATAGTAAAGCTGATATAAAGTAGCTGATATAAGATAGTAAATGCAGTCATTTAATTCTTTATTAAATAGAAAATTGTAAGAGCCTCATTTATTTGAAATGGAAATCTTTTAGAAAATTAAAAATGCCTTACTGTGACTCTTGATCAGTGTAATGCACCCTTGCTAAAAAGCATTCATTTCTTTTAAGAAAACATTTTTAAAAGCAGTGCATTTTAATACCATCGTAATATTCAGCAACATAATCCAGTTAGTATTACTGGAGTACAATTAAGTCCAGCCATAGTTTGGCAATGTGTGAATTGAAAAAGTCCTCTAGTTTTATGTCAGCTTTCACCAGTTTTACCATTGTGGTCTTTTTTGGGCTATTTCATACAGTTTGAGCTAGCTAAGCTATGATGGGGCTTTTAATAGGGAATCAGTGACAAATACAAATGGTTTGTGTCACGCTTCCCACTCCTACACGGTTTAAATTGGTCAGGGTGGCTCAGTAGAGAGCAGTTTGCTCAGTGTTATCCAGTCAGTCCTGCTGCGCTGCACATTGGGCTGTGCAGATAAATGATTCACACGGAACTGCATACCGCTGTTGTCTCTCACTTTTATAGTGTTTTGGCTTTTGGTGTTTCTCGTGCAAAGCACAAAATGGCAGAGCATTACCAGTGTGGCTTCTAACAATATCTAACAAAATTTAATTGCATTGGGAGAAAAAACAACAAAACCAAACAGGATTTTTAAAGATACCATAAGCCTCTTACATTAAAGGGCCATCCAAATTAGTGTTTTTCAACCACGTTCCTGCAGGACCACCAGCTCTGCACGTTTTCCATATCTTCTTAAACAAACACATCTGATTTAGATCATCAGCTTATTAGCAGAGACTGAAAGAGCTGTAATGGGTGTGACAGACAAAGGAGACATCCAAAACATGCAGTGTTGGAGGTCCTCCAGGAACGTGGTTGAGAAACACTGCTCTAAATATCAACAACTTCAGCTAAAAATGAAACATAATATATTTTAAGTTAATATAAAACAGTATCTATTTTGCCTGTTTCAACGTCATTTTTGAACAGAAAATTTATAAACTGGAAAACAAGTTTCAAAGTGGAAGCATTTCAAAACAAAGACATCATGAGCATGCATGGCACATGTTTAGGGAGATGTAGATAAAAGGCAAGTGCAAACAAACATACAGTACACAACAATGGTGGAGTGTTGCTGTTGTTTAAGTGTCTCCTATAGAGCTTCATCAACAAAGTGTAGATTTATTAACTAAAAGCAGAGACACACCTTACACACAAGACAAATTACATAGACACAATCCCAAAGCCACTAATGGCACATTGTCACTTCCCTGTACAGACTGTGTACAGGTTTCCACCATTTAATAAACAGCAGATTCAAGGACTTTTAAGGACTTTTTGAAGCAACGTTAATTTCAAATCAAGCATCTTTGTAATTCACACCACCATCATACTGTATATATAACCCAGAAGATACAGTATGTAGCATCAAGTTCTTTCTCTGCTTAACATTTCACTTACACAATATTTACATAAAATGTCAGAGTAATGGTGAGGTTTTGAATGTGTCATTTTTAAATGTTTTAAACACTCGTGTTCAAAGACCTTTAATAAGTTGTTGAATTCAAAAATGGTAATATTCAAATGCAGTTTCTGAAACATTGATAAAATGTGCATTATTTTGTCACAGTTCTTGAACAAGATTTAAATGTAAGATTTTTTTAAATGTAATGCTTTATCTTTTTTTTGTTTTAGAAATTGTTCAAACTCCCAAATAAAGTTTATTTTAAACCAAATTCAAGCACTTTCAAGGACCTATGCTTGTTTTTAAGTTTCAGGCCTTGAATACACATGTCTGAAATTCAAGTACTTTCAAGAAGCTTGGGAACCCTGTGTGATGGCACCACATACCGGCTTGCCATTTAATACAGCGTTTCGCCATTTTTGTAATGCAATGTGTATTTATATAGCGCATTTATCATCTATGGCCATACACTTAAAATGCTTCACAATCATGAGGGGGGTCTCTCCACACCAACATCAGTGTGCAGCATTCACTTGTGATGCGACAGCAGTCACGCGACAACAGCGCCAGTGCGCTTACCACACGCCAGCTACAGAGTGTAGTGAAGAGACAAGTGATAGAGCCAATTCAGTGGATGGGGATGATTGAGAGGCCATGATGGTTAAGGGCCAATAGAGGAATTTTGACCAGGCCACCGGGGTAAAACCCCTACTCTTGATGAAGTGCCATGGAATTTTTATTGACCACAGAGAGGTAGGACCTCGGTTTAATGTCTCATCCAAAAGACAGCACCCTCTGACAGCATAGCTTCCCCTTCACATTTACTGGGGCATCACTAGCACCACTTCCAACAGCAACCTAGTTTTCCCATGTGATGTCCCATCCAGGTACTGACCAGGCTCAGCCCGGCTTAGCTTCAGTGAGTAACCGGTCTTGGGCTGCAGGGTGATTTGGCTGTGGCATTTTTGGGAATGCAAAATTTCTTTTTCAGAATGCAAGGAGAAAGCTTTTCTACTTTTGGCAACATCATGTTGTTTAATGTAGCCTAACATTACAAATGACTGTGACTGTCCAAACTCCAGAATCAGCTCTCAATGTTGACTCTTGCTGTGCCAAAAATCCCTCATTTGTTCACTGATTTTCTAATCCCTAAATAGTGCGCAGTAAATGAGGGCACTTTATCAACCAGAAGCAACTTGAATGATGCAAAGAATTCATAAAATGATCTATTGCACTGTGTGTCAGTGCTGGAACTGATGCAGAAAAAATATTTTACAACAAGTGTAGCTTCATTTGTTTTTAATTATGCATTCCTTCATGCCTGCAGTACAACTGATGTTATACTAATGGAATAAAATTAAACAATAAACAATATAAAATAAATCATAATTTTTTTATTGAGAATAAACAAATCAATAAGTGTTCATTATTGTATGTATATTAATAAAATTTTAGACTTGCAGTGATAATAAATTTTTCTAATGGCCTGGCCATTTGCCACAAAAAAAAAAATATATATATATAATAATAAAATTTTTAGCGACATATTTTAATGTTTCAAAACAAGAAAACTCTAGTTGTATACACTTTAATAACACAATATAATAACACAATTAACATTGTTTATTGTTAAAAGTTTATTTTTTATAGAGACAATGGCATAAATTAAAAAACTATATACATATACATTGACTTTTGGACCAAATTGATTGAATATGTATCAGGTTAAGTGAATTGTTGCTCAGTTATTGTCATGAGAAATTGTGCAATTGTTTTAGTCTTCTTTCCCTGATTATGGAATTTAATTGAGAGAAGTTACTATAAAAATGTTGAACAGCAATTGTTGATTGTATCTCTTTGCAATGAAAACTAAGACCTGTTTAAAATGATAATACCTACAAGACAATATTTTAGTAAATTTAAGACTTATTAAGATCTAAAATTTTGTTTTTGAAATTGAAGACATTTTAAGACTTTAAGACCATGCAGGGACGCTGACACACTGGTATGTGCTGCAGCGTACAGTATGCAGACGTCTGAACTCCAGGCAGTCAGCGGATGCTTTGAGCCCACCTGCCCAGATTAGAGCAGTGAAGGTCAGACAGTTCATTAAGAGTCTACCGCTGGATCTCATCTCCCTATAGTTGTTAAACGTGATATTTAATTCATTGTGTCTCCATCTAACGACTCTTTGGTCTTTTGAATCTATTATTGTTCCCAGGTAACGTGATTTGCCTGAGCGCAAAGATAAGTTAATATATTAATTTATTTAACCATGTACAGATTCTTCACATTTGACTGATTGCTTCCCTTTATTTCCTATATTATATATTGTACAGTATACATTTATAATGGCCATTATAAATTATTAAAACTAATATTCAGCAAAAGAGATAGGGTATGCTTTATATGGCAGTTATGTTATAGGCTCAGGTGTGCAGGCACACAACATCATAAGACGTTAGCCCCTTTCACACAGTGATACCGGTAAATATCCGGAAAATTTCCGGAATGACTTTACCGGTAAAATCAAAAAAGCACTGTTCACACAGGCGAGGACATTACAGAATTTTTCCGGAAAAGAGCATTCACACATCCATCGCAAAATGCCGGTAAATTCTGACATCATTAACCAGAAATGACATGTAAACGGCTGCACTTGTGTTTGTAAACATTTGACTACATTACAAACTCTTTGGATGGATCAGCATTGAGTACAACTCCAATGAAAACATATAGAGGAACACTTTCGCATGTCGAGATGTTCATGATATGTGTGTGTGCTGGCGCTATGGGCGCTCACGGGCACACGCAAAGCTTGAAGGTAAACACACAACGGATTATCATAAACATTTCATCGATAATTATTTACACAGTTAGCATTAAAAGGAACATAGAAACGTTATCTGACTAACATCTAGCAGCTAAAGGTGTCTGGAAAAATATTCAAAGGCTTTTATTCTCATAAACCGAGCGCACGTGAATGCGTCGGACTGCTCTGATTGGCTAAAGCAGGTGTCTCACGTCAGCACGTTCTAGACGTGGACGCGCTCTTTCCGGCAATCTTCCTTCTACATTCACATAGATATATACACTACATGTCGCCTGGTCTATTGTTATCTATTGGACGGAATGCATCAATAGCGCCGCCATCTTGCTACAGGGTAGTGCTCCTTTGAAATGAATGCGGGACCAAGGTAAAGTGGAGGACTGTGGCCATGCAAAGCCAGAGATATACACATAAACACATATATCTGTGATCGGGAGTTTTCCTGGATGTTAGTATGTAATTTTAATTTTCTAATTACAAAAATTATAAATTTACATAACTTTTCTACATTGATGGATCAGTGACCGCACGGGCATTCCTGACAAAAAGCTTGTGTTTGTGTGTACAGAAATGTACTATTCACCCTCCCTGTTAAATTTGATCTAATCCGTGTCCTGAAACACACCTCCTGTTCTGCTTTCACTTCTCATACTGATGGAGAGAGCGATTTGTTTGTGAATGAATCCCCCGAATGACTCTTTCACTAACGTTAGGCGACAATAATACAAGTTTCTGGCAGCGCAGCATCTCGTTGTCATATTTCTTTTGCATTGTTTGCTGATTTTATTCAACAAAACTAGCATAAGCCGAGTGTTTAGTGCGAGTTGGAGCTGCTTTGCCGTATGGTGAATGCAGTAAGTGACTGTTATCATCAATAACGTTACCTGATTAGCACAAAAGTTCAGAACATACAAAAACAGAAAAAAAACTTAATATTACCTATGAAATGTTCTGCCTTTGTGCTTTGTTTTCTTTGTTTGCTCGTTACTACACCCGTAGACAGCACTAAAATCCCGCCTCTTCACGTAATAACACTGTTTTGACTAGTGCGGTTGAATGACATTTGTCCTGGGAGCACTGTACCAATGTGGTGGCGCTATTGAAGCATACTCAGGGTCCCTATGCAATATCTAGTGTACATATCTATGCTGCATTCACACAGCGCAGCCAATTTTTATTTCCAAACCAAATCTAATATCCCCACGATGTTGGGATACGTTGGGGTACAATGTCAATATGGCATCATGTTGACATCCTGTGCCTGCAGGAAATATGCATACAGTGATGATGACACTCATATAAATATGTAGCTACACGATGCCTTTACATATTTGATGTCTGTTAAGTTATTAATAACAAAATGTAAATAGGCAGTTATATCTTTTCATTTTATTGTTAAGAAAATTAAATAACTTAGCCAGGGTGATGTGAATAACGTTATAAAGTACACTGTTGCCTTTGAAGATTTACCTGTTGTGTTTGATATGGAGTTTGTTTTCCATATCAAACTTGCGATGTCTGAACTTACAAGGATGCAAGACTGACCATCAACTCCCACGGTGGAAGTTGTGACTCTGGAATACTTGGAATCATACAACTCTACTTATAGAAATAGACTCCGACTCACTTTTGCAGCTGCTGTAACCTCTGCTGGAGCTCCAGTGTGGCGCAGGGTAGAGAAATGTCGGAGGCCAGACTAGGCGTAGAGTCTCGATGAGACTGACGCTTGTGCGAGCTGCCTATCCCAAGACTGGACAGACTGCGACCAGCATCTGCTAACCGCACCGGGGAGCCATCAGACCCTCTTTTCCCCTGAGGCGTGTCCGGTGGAGGGGTACAGGGTGGGTTCTGGGACGGCTGGATGTCTGTAGGGCTGCTGGTAGCTTGAGGTTTTGGAGGCACACAAGTGTTACTCTGACTAGTGATTCTCACTCGGACAGATGACGGGTGGCTGGATGTGACCTCCTTTTCCAACGACAGGATCTGTGAACACAAAAAGCACATTCACATGGATAAAATATATTGACAGAAGACTTCAATGTAACATGCACACAAAAACAATGCACACAGACACACCAACCCTGAGAGCCATTTTGAGTTTGAGGGTGCTGTTGGGGCCGGAGCTCTGCAGAGGAAACTGCTGATTCAGAGTCATGTCCACCTCATTCAGGAGAGATGCAAGAGACACTTGTAGACTACCCAGAGAGCACTTGTGCTTACTATCCTTCACCTGAGACAAACAAATCACACGTCAGTTTACTTTTACTAATCCTGAGCTTTTAATCATAATTAACACACGCTTTATTGGTCTTTAAATAATCTGTCTTCTTTTGATTAATAAACATTGAAGTAGATTTCAGTAATTAAGATGATTTTAGTGACTATTTGTTAACAAACATTCATGCTTTTAGGACGATCCCTTATAGAATACCTCAATTTCCAGTTCCTGAGTCTGGGGGTTGTTGATAAGGAAGGGGAAAGTCTCTTCCCACAGTGGCTCACTGGTTTTATACCTCACCTGCAAAGTACAGGACAGGGTATATGTGCATTGCAGGACTTTAAGATGTTAAAGCTGATTAATCAATGCTACCTTGCTTGTGCACGTCTTCTGTCCTACAGTCAGTTTGACAAAAGGATTTGGATCTATGCTCACTTTCTTACCAGACTGTTGAACAAAAAGAGAAAGAACCCAATTATTGTATGCGGTGGGATATGACAAAGTCAAAAAAACATGATACAGTCTCAAAGGGATAGTTCACACAAAGAAATAATAACCTCATTATTTACTCTCTTTCATGTGGTTTTAAATCTTTAAAAGTTTTGAAGAATGCTGGTTACTGTCACCCATTGACTTCCATAGTAGGAACAAAAATCCTATGGAAGTCAATTGGTCTCAGCAACCAGCATTCTTCAAAATATCTTTTTTTTTAGAAGAAAAAAAAGTTAAAGGTGAGTAACTGACAACTAACAGAGTCAAATTGTGGGGAGAACTATCCCTTTAAATAGTCAATTACAAATATGCAATACATTCTGACCGGTTGGTTTATTGTAAATAATAAATCATAACTCAGCTATTTGAAAGTCATGCTTCTTTCTATATTTACATTTACAAAAGCACTGATACAATACTTAAAGTTAAAAAAAATGAGCACAGCCACAGCAATCTGCCGAATCCAGATGATGTAAAACACATGCAGATGTGCTTAAGGGAAGAATCCATTGGAGAAGCACTTAATGAATAAAAATCACAAAAGAAAGACACAAATGATAAAAGGCATTAAATCAAGCTTAGATTTCGGATCACCGCATGAATTTTCAAAAGTACCTTCAGGCCTTTATAAGGAGGTTTGGGGCCATCAGGGTTAAATACAAAAGGATTGGTCTTTCCACAGGAAGGATTGAGTGAAAATGAAAATAGGAAAGGTAATATATGAGAAGAGGACATGCAAGAAGGATAGTCAGATCAGCCAAGCCCCACAGTTTAACAAAATATTACAATACATAAAATAATAATAATAATTATTATTATTTATTATTATTATTATTTTCCTTCTCTGTGCAAATGCTGTTGGGGACAAAAAGACCTTAAAATAACCTGGTTTTGCACCCTCTCGTCTAAGACCAAGCTGTATTTAAATCATTCATGTGACTTCAGAAACAAAATATATGGGTCAAAAATAAATGGGTGAACATAGTTACTGAGCATTTAAGCTAGAACTAAAGGGACAGTTCAAATGAAAATTCTCTCATCATTTACTAACCATTCACTTGTTACAAACATTTTGGGAGTTTCTTTCTTCTGATTAATAGAAAATGAAAAAAAATGAAAAATGCTTTATATATTCAAAATAAATAAATAAAATAAACACAAAGAGTTGGAACCAAATGATGACGAGCAAAAGGTGAGAATATTTTCACTTTTTAATAAACAGCGGGGGGAAATGTCAATTAACATGCATTGAGGTTCATTTGTTATTTGAATGGAAGAAATGTATTCACACTATTGGTTAAATGGCTTCAGTTAGATTTGGGGAACCAGGATGCAGATTTTACTGGCAAACTCACAAATAACTCTCTACAGAGAGAGTCAGCGTTCTCACAAAAGACTAGACCAGACGCTCTCCTTTCCTTTAGGTTTCCACAGCCAAAACTGCCCTCAAAGACACTCTTACAGTACAAGAGGAAGGCACAATGAAAACCATTAATAAAATGGGTATTTTACAAGAAGACTAGGAGTCAAATTTAAGAATTAAGACATTTTGAAGACACTTGTAAATGAAATTTCAAACTTATACAGGACTGAACACTGAGGACTTTTAAGATTTGTAAAATATTTTACTTGCCTCATCAAAAACAAACTCAAATTTAGTTATTTATTAGTCAAATATTTTAAATAATGTGTCAGAACAAGCAAACTCCACATATTTTTCCACATAACTAATCTTCAAAATACTGACAAGCTTTAAAAACTATAATAAACTCAAATCAATTGAATTCAACTCAGTTCAGGTCAGAGTCCTCAGCAGGTAGCTGCAAATACATGAAGAACTTTTCAAACAAAAGTTATTTTAAGTAAGATAATTAAACTATATGGGTAAATAGAGGTTAAAAAAAAATGTGTTCAAGGCTCTAGTGAGATTGCTATTTGTTGTAATCCAGCCTGTGCAGATTGTTGGAGAACTACACATATGCCACTGATAAGAACTACAAATCCCATCATGCACCGCACACACACCAGTTTCAGTTCTCTCCATGATTGCACTCACACAGCTGGAAGCTCATAATGGACTAATCAGAAAGACCATTTAATGACTTTGCTGAAATGGCTTTGTTATCCAAGCATTACAAAGAATTCTATTATGTAGCCTTGCCTTGTTTCTTGACCCTTGCTTTGTTTCTTGTTTATATTGTTTTGTCACTTGCATCAACCTCTTTGCCTGTGACCACGATGACAATTTTTTTATTTTCTGTTAGTTCCTGTCCTGACCATTTGCCTGTTTCCTGACTAAGCTTTGGATTACTCTTATGCTCCTGTTTGTTCCTGTATTGACCATTGCCTGTATGGCTTTTGGATAGGTGTTTGGCCAATTGGGTAGCTTTAAACAAAGAAAAGAAAATTAACACCTGTTTTTAAAACAATTTAAAATAAAAAACAACAAAATATTCCAGTAGGTCTAAATTGTTTGCTTTTGAAATTTAAGACATTTTTTTACTTTCATATCATAAACTATATTTGCATAATTAAACATTCTAAAAAGTTCACTCCCTAAAAAATGTTAGATATATAAATATAACATATATGTTATATTTATATATCTAACATTTTTTAGGGAGTGAACTTTTTAGAATATTTAATAAAAAATTTTTTAGATATATAAATATAACATATATATATATATATATATATATATATATATATATAATTATTATATATAATTTCTTTGAGTAAATTATTGTACCCAATAAACAACAGCATAATTTATATCAGTAAAGAAAATGAAAGCAGATCATTAAAATGCTGTAACTGAAAGCGGAAAACCATGTCCGACGGGTATCTTTATAGGACATCAGAACATGTTGCTTTACAGCAGATCCTCAGGAAGAACCTGTGTGTACACGCAAACACAGACATAATCTTATGTTTGTAGATTTCTTACTGGCAAATTACTGGCTGAATCCAGGTTAACAATAAGCAGAGCGGAAGAGAGATTGTCATTAGTCCTTATGCTCTTCTGTACCTAATAAGAGTAAAAAATACACAAGATGAGAAAGGAATAATCAAAGGTTCATAGAATGTTTTAATCATGTCTATCAATGTCAGTCAGCGTGTTTGTGTACGCATACTTGATCTAGTTTTTCAGCACTCGAGTACAGTGACAGCCACTCTAGTCTCAGGTGAAGTTTGCCTGTAGTAACTTCTTCCAAATCAAACCACTGCAGATAAAATACAACAAAAAATTGATCGGTGGAATAAAATGAGAGTTATGGACAAAAATAACATTCGTTTCATTCCAAATCAATTAAGCAATACTACAGAGTTCAAGAGAAAAGACCTATATCTATCTATCTATCTATCTATCTATCTATCTATCTATCTATCTATCTATCTATCTATCTATCTATCTATCTATCTATCTATCTATCTATCTATCTATCTATCTATCTATCTATCTATCTATCTATCTATCTATCTATCTATCTATCTATCTATCTATATATATATATATATGTAGTGATTTTCAAAAATATTACATCAATTTGTAAAAGTTTATTATTATCATTTGTTAAGTGTTCCCACACAGTTTGATATAACGCTTACACTGCTTTATGTAATGTCACATTTTACAAGGGAATAAAAGCAGATGTGTGAACATAAGACAATCTCCGTTGAAATGCACCTTCATTAGAAAAAGTCAAGATTCACCTAGGAAAAAATTACCAACTGTAGACAGATTTAGAAAAAAAAAATGTCTAGTGGAAATGTATAGAAAAATGCATTAAGAAAAACGTTTTATGAATTATGAACTTGTTCAGCCATTTTGCATGTAAAGATTTATGCAATAAACAAACAATTTACTGTTGTGTGGGGGTGAGACTTTTTAAAAGAGACCAAAAAAATGCATTTTGATCAACAAGACATAAATAATCAATATTGTAGGAAACATCAGAGAATTGTACATGATCATTTGCATGGATTTACCAAAGCATTTACAACTTGTTCAAAGGAATAAAAAACTTCCTTTTTGATGTGCACAAGTGACACAATGGTGTGAGGATTGAACAGGGAGTTTTATTAATTTCAATTCTGATCTGAGAAATGTAAAAAAGCCACTAAGAAAAACTGTAATACTGACTACCATAGACTTTAAAAAGTATAAAACCTGCCAATACTGTACAATCCATTACCTCAACTATGAAAAAAGAAAATGTCAGATCATTAATTAAAGTTTCTAAAATAAAACTGGTGGTGACATTTGTTAAAGAACATGCATTGCAAATGAATGTAACAAGAATGAGAATTTAAATACCTCATCAACCTTCTGTTCTTTATGAAGCTCAGTCAAGTCAATCATTAGACTGGAACAAAAATTAACAATACATTTCACACTTTTAAAAAGATAAATGATAGACAATATTGCACATTTTAGATATTTAAATGAATTTGGCACCTTCCCAAGAAATCATCTTTATCTGGGTCTTCATCAAAGAGCTCAATTTCCAGATGTTGTCCTGAAGGTTCATATACTAGTGCCTGATAAAACACATGCATGCAGATTTGTAATATTTGATCTTTGTATTACAGTATAAGCATAGCGTTTCTCCATACTCACCTCATACACCTCGTTCCACTTGGGGTGCAGACACTCTTTGATTGTCTTACTTCTGAAAAGTTGGTTGCTGACCAGCAGCATACCATATGGGTCAGACTTGCCTTTGATTAGTCCGCCAAGATACGTGTCCTTTACTTCCAGATTCTGAGCTTCAATAAAATAAATCCTCAGCACTCCCTAATGAGAGATCCAAACATAAAAGAAGACAGCAGAAGAGATGGCTGAATAATAACATCAGTAAGTGAGCATGGTTTGCTTAATAACGAGTGATGAGATGGTAGTGTTATGTTTGGGTGTTCACCTTTGGCATGGGGAAGCGAAGCTGTGCCAGCTCAACCTCACCTATCAACGGCACTGTGATCCTGTTAGGCAACACCATGTAAGCGCTGATAATATCTTGGATCATTTGATCTGAAAAGCCACTGCCAATGGAAAAGAAATAATGGTAATGCATCATTAGTGATTTTCTCCTTTATATATTCTGTTGACTAAATATTTAACTTTGCTGATTGCTTGCTGCCATGTACTGTAATTGCAGAGTAACCGTAAATTAAGGCCCATTCCCAATTCTACCCCTTAGCCCCTTACTCATTTTGCATGTTCACATGCAAAGAGGTGCATGTAAAGGGGTGGGGTTGTCACAATTATCTATAGCTTGAAGGCATAAGGCAAAGGGGAAGGGTTAGATAGCCGTTGAAAATGAGATTTTTCAGAACCACACTCGAAACCATAGGGTACAAAAATTTCCAGTCACTCGACGGCACTCGAATACCCAGTCAGAAAAGTCTAGGGGCTGGGAATGAGCTTTTTGCAGTGTCTGGTATAATGTTAATATAGTTTTTGTATAGATCAGGGCTGTCCAAACTCAGTGCTAAAGGGCCGGTATCCTGCATAGTTTAACTCCAACTTCCTCCAACATACCTGCATGGAAGTTTTAAGTATACCTAGAAAGAGCTTGATTAGCTGATTCAGGTGTGTTTAATTGGGGTTGAAACTAAAATATGCAGGACAACGGCCCTCCAGGACCGAGTTTGGACACCCCTGGTATAGACGAATATGGCCATGGTGTAAATGCACAGTACAGTGACAAGCTTATTGCCGCATTATATCGTTATGACAACATGATATTGTTGCCTTCAGTGATTTCCTAAGATACATACCATCTGAAGAAAAATACCACATGCGTCTGGATTCATAACTACAGCAGTCATCATCGTCAATCTCTTATGAAGTAAGAGATTGCGACGACACATGATGATGTGTGCGGGTGTTGTAGTGCTGTCCCATTTCTTAGGGGTAAAATATGAAGGCCTTCCCCTTAACACTCTGTTTCAAGGCCAAGGGGAAGGGGTGAAAAAAATAGAATCGGGATTGGGCCTTAATATCTCTTGACCCTTCTCTGAATCAGAATCAGAAAGAGCTTTATAGCCAGAAACATTTACACAAGGAATTTGTTTCCGTGACAAAAGCCTTTAACGTGCAACAGAATAACAGTGACATGACAAAACTCCAGTGTAACTCTAATGTAACCACTGTCATTCACTATCCTTGAAAGAAGAAAAAAAAAACTAGTGATATTCCAGTATATTATTTTAATACATTACCTGTTTTTACATTAAAGGATACATTAAATTGAGTGCAACATTTGAGTTTTGATATATTTGTAGTAACAAGTTTTTTTTTATCTTCATGGAACATGAACTTTATTAATAGTCTAATCATTTTGGAATAAAGAGAAAAAAGGGGACCCATAAAAGGTATTTTTGGCTATGACAAAAACATACCCATGCACCATACGACTAGTTTTGTGGTCCAGGGTCACATATTTTCTTCAGGCGGTTAATTGATTTATGCATCAGAGAGTTAAAAGCAGGAACTGTGTTGAGAATTATTGGAAGACTTGAGGTTCAAATGGTTAGCAACACTCAAATTGTTTCGTGTGGTGAACAATAATAAAGCAACAAAACCTGTTTAATGGTGTCTTAATTGCTAATAACAGTTGGTGTCGTAAATAATGATGTACTGTAAGTAAACTGAAACAAACAAACATAAAATAAAACCTATAAATGTTAGCGCATATTTTAATCAGAAACAATCAATAATGAAAAATACAAACACGTTACTTCTTTAAAAACATCATTAAATAGTCACTCTTGTAGAAGTTGCAGAAAGTCTAACTGATTTAAATATGCCAAAGAAAAAAAATCCTGTCCCTCCCAGATGTATTGCTAACTGCAACAACCACATTCAAACGTTGACTCGCCGGCTAAACCAACAATCTAAGAAAACACAAATATCATCTGACACTGTTTATTAAAGTATGTTTTTGTAACATTATCATGAATATATTTTCCAAGTTTCGTCAGACAGCTGCTGCAGCACTTGGTGTGACAGTTTATACATCCACAGTAATTGGCCTGCAGCCTGTCGGTCCAGCACAAACCCACTATGACCTTGTTAAAATACAACCACAAGCTGTGAAAGACGAGAGAGGAAGCACAAAGCACTAGTCCCAGTCTATGCTAACCACATGCTCCTGTCTCTGTGCAGCGAGTTGACTTTGCTGAAAACACTGTGAGGCCCGAGTTATATAAAGTCTTCTCAACATACACACATGATTCGGCAAATACAAGCAGACAAATAACACTTTCCAAACTAATAGTATAGCACAAGGTACAAAAGCATGTAGAGCAGAGCACTTCAAGGATTATTAGTACTGTATTAAGTATTATTTAACTGGTCACACTTTACAATAAGGATTCATTACTCTCAGTTCATGTCAGTAAACAGGTAAACTAATGAAATCTTATGGCAAAGTGTGACCATTTGAATCAGTAATTTATCCATGTTTATCACTCACTGTATACAAACACTATATTGTGTATATATACAGTCAATATATACAGTTGTGCTATATTATGAGACTACAGTACTGTATATTGTACAGTATTCTGTTTAGCTATTTTAAAAGAGCATAAGTCTTTTCATAAGTCATAAGTTTTTTTTAATAACTGTCCGCATTACACATTTGTCTTCCCTCTTTTGCAACTGAATCATTTATGCATGAGAGAGTTGAATGATGCAGTGTTATGAATGACTGAAATGAAAAACAAAAGATTACGCTGTAAACTGATTTAGAGGCACTTTTCCCAGAGCATATTTAAATTGTTCCGCATAAAGATCAACCACTAAGCAAGCAACTAAACCTGCTTATTAGAGTTTAAATGAGCCTTTATAGCCAATAGTAAGGTTAGTGACATGGCTGAAACTAAACCAAACTATATATTAAATTTTACTTCTGTTGCATAATCTGAGACTGGGCAGGTAATTTAATTTAACCCGCATGCTCGCTTATAGCTGGATCAGGAGACTAAATACTGATATTAGACCTACATCTCTTTCAATAGAGAGAAAGCTCTACTAGTGTTTAATATTCTGTTATGTTTGCTATAAGAGTTTTTGTTATGTTGCAGGTGTTATGGTTATGCCACTGTGCTGAGGAGAAGAGATTGTGCTTTGATACTGTAGTGTGTGGTAACATGAATTTTATATCCTGCTCCGCTCAATAGCCAGCAACCATGCTCAAATCAACAATATCTTGCCTATTGAGTTCATTATTTTAAATGTACAATGTTAATCAATATTTTATATTACTACTTTTTAAAAAATAATTGCAAATATTAATTTGACATTACTCATTTTGTACATTATGCATTACTTCATGTTTACAATCTAGTCTAAACAGAAAGCACTGTTAAAATCTTTTAATCCAATGTTAAAGAGTCAATAATCAGAATCATTAATGGGGGATCAATAAGCTTTGAAAACAAACAGCAGAAGTTCAGGTTCAACTACTGGATGTTTAAACTTACCAACAACCAAGGACATTTTTAAATGGTAAAAGGAGCATTGCCAATTGTGTGCATGAGCTTCAACAGAATGCTTGATCAAATAAGGATGCTTACAATTACATATCATTGCTTCCTGGCACAAGAGTTCATCTACATATGAAAAAAATATTTGAATAAGTATGTGCTTACAATTACATTTGATTAGTTCCTGGAAGTTCATCTACATATGAAAAAATATATATTTGAATAAATATGTGCTTACAACCACATTTGATTGTTCATCTACATAATGAAACTTTACTACAAAATTAAAAATCCTGAAACAGACTGATGAACTCATCACATGTCTGAAAATTGTGTTTGAGACATAATATTATATAAGCATTAAACAAAAAGAAAGAGAAATACAATCATGAAAAGCCATGCCATGAAAAGCCTTCTAAAAGATGAGCCTAGATCCAACTGCTAAAACCATTAAGAGTTCGGATGGGGGTGTCAGCCCAATCTCACAAGTAAACATAACTATTTTACATAGGCTGTAGACAGAAAAGTAGCTCAATTCATACGCTTTAATTCATATGAAACCCTAAACCTTGCCCCTCACTCAAAAAAAAAGAAAAAAAGATATAATTTTTTGCTGCTCGTTCAAACCACTTCTTTAAAATCAGGTGAAACAACACAATTCTTCAGATTTTTTGTTTTGTTTTTGTTTTTGTGGGGGGGTGTGGCAACTTAATGTTATTTACAATTTTAGGTTGACTGAACATAACAAAATTAGGTTAACTTCATTGTGTGGAATCTAGGATTTTTACAGTGATAAACCCAACCATCCTTGGAGGATGATTAAATCATAAAATGTACAAATGAGATTGTACAAAATTATAAAAATCAGCCACTAATTGAAAAAGTTATGATTTGCCTGAGATTGCATTAGGGTTCGCAAGGCTAATGTGTTGAAAATATCTGAATGAAGTTGATCAAATAAGCAGATTTCAAACATTCCTCTACTATACATTTTCTTTGATTTATGTCACTAATCACACCCTTTCTGTACATTCATCAAAAACTATTTATATTCTCCAATCTGTTTTCTCATATTCTTTTCAAATTACACTTGACATTCAATATCTCAATTTCCAGCGAGTCGTGGTAAAACCCAGCTTCATCTTCTGTAATAAAAGTGCGCCAACATTCTCCATGTAAAACAACACGCTGAACACAAATTATAAACCTCATAAAAATATCAAAGCAAGAATGATGTTAATAACTCCTCTATTGATTTGCCTCCCAAGTGGATGCAGTTCCCCAAACATCTTCATAATGCAAGCATAGTGCTCTCTGAGCCTACAGTAATCACCAGTCCTAAACAACAGGACACTGGAGATGTACAGAACACTTCTTTTCTGCAGTGAAGATCCACAGCAGCACCAATAAACTTTAATAGCAGAAGAGCAAGCACTCTCAATGCTGCAGTGCTAATGACCTTAGCCGAATGTTGCTTTTGGTGTTTTCTTTTGCGCTTAGCTTGTGATAAGAACAATCTAGAGTTTGAGCGTAGGAATTAGGGATGCAACGATTATAGATTTTGGTTGTACGATTATAGTCTGAGGAATAATAGCATAAAATAATATTTAAAAAACAATAGTCCATTTTGGCAGCACGGTGGTGCAGAGGGTAGCGATGTCGCCTCAAAGCAAGAAGGTTGCTAGTTTGAGCCTCGGCTGAGTCAGTTGGCATTTCTGTGTGGAGTTTACATATTCTCCCTGTGTTTGTGTGGGTTTCTTCCGGGTGCTCCGGTTTTCCCCACAGTCCAAAGACATGCACTATAGGTAAATTAGGAAGGCTAAGTTGTCTGTAGTGTATAAGTGTAAAGAGTTTGTGTGGATGTTTCCCAGTGATGGTTTGCAGCAGGAAGGGCATCCACTGCGCAAAACATGTGTTGGATAAGGTGGCGGTTCATTCCACTGTGGTGACCCCTGATGAATAAAAGGACTAAGCCAAAAAGAGAATGAATGAATGAATAGTCCATTTCTCTTGCGACTTAAAAACAAGTGAAAAAAAGTTTTGGGCAATTAAAGTTATCATTTTACACTAAAAATAATTAAAAGAAAAATAAATAAACAAGTAAATAAAAATAAGAATCTATCGAAAAGAATAGTATTCGTCTAATGTCAATCAAAGCTACATATTATGCATGTAGAAAGTAAGTTCCCTTTTAAAGCAAACGAATGTAGTCAAAGGCTGCTGAACCTTTGTCTGAAAGGCACTTTTGATCAACTGTATTACAAAATTGTTTGATATTTTTCATTTTGTATTTTATTTTTTTTTATTAGGATTAGAAATGTGATTGGCCTATTCTTGTCACATGACTCACGGTGCGCTCGCGGCATTCTTTCGCCACTAGGTGTGCCTGGAAAGCATGAGTGCGTCACGGCGCTCCCACATTTTACACCCCACATTTCTTCATGTTAATTGCTGATTTAAAAATTTTTGATTTCCCATTAAAGAAAATAAAGCGGTTCTTTAAATGCTTAGTTCAATCAACAAAATTTCATTTACATCCCAAGATGTAGCTAACATTTTTTTTCTTCTTCAGTAGAACATTAAACATCAAGTGGCCATGTGTCCTAATGGTAAGGAGTTTGACTTGACATCAAAAGACTGCAGGTTCAATTCTGGGTCCTGGCAGGAACTAACGATAGTGAGGAGAGAACAAAGTGCACCTTTTTATCCATCTTCGATACTCAGTTATGGTTCCCCTGAGTAAGACACCTAACCTTTAATTGCTCCCCGAGCACTGAAAGAAATAGCAGCCCACTGCACCGGGAGTATCCTCACTTTATGTGATTGTGTGTGTGTGTGTGTGTGTGTGTGTGTGTGTGTGTGTGTGTGTGTGTGTGTGTGTGTGTGTGTGTGTCTGTGTGTGCTTTCAGTTCTCACTCCAAATGTGTGTGTGTGTGTGTGTGTGTGTGTGTGTGTGTGTACTTCAATGAGTTAAAAGCAGAGGACCAATTTCAAGTATGGATAAAACCATACTTGAAAAGGTCACTTCACTTCAAAAGTACAGAGAACTCTTTACTGGGGCTGTGAATTAAAGCTTAAAATATTGTAAAAAAAAAATATATATATATATACAGTTTTATTTCAAAACACCTCATGGTGGACTTGATTTGATGATTATTTTTAATCTAAAAATGGGTGACCAATAACTCAACAGCTTCAGCTAAAAATCTTCTTTAATGATCTTCTGAAGAAAAAAAAGTCACCATACATCCTTAATGGCCCGAGGGTGAAAACATTAACTGTAAATTTTCATTTTTTGGATAAACTATCCCTTTAATGGTATTGATATGAACTCCCGCGCACATTTTAGAAAAAAAAAAACATTTTAAAACTGTAATAAATTCCTACAGTACAGTTCTTTACACAACAGAAGGAGCTTGAAACCCCTACACTGTAGATGAGATTACTGATGAAATCACTACACGCCTGGGTGTGTGTGTGTGTGTGTGTGCATGATCAGCACAACCCGAGGAGCAACACTCATGAATCTGTACCAGCGTTTTACTGCAGACAGTAAGTCAAGGCAACACATTAAGGGTCTCTCTAATCTGCCATTACACTGGTCACTTAGAGGCTGTTTGAAAAACTATTTTTGTTACTTTAATTATTTAGTTTGTACCTAAACAATTTCTAGGTAATACATGCTGGGGGGAAATGGTACATTGCATCTACAGTACATGCATAATGCATAAATTTACTGTAATTGTAATTTAACAAATGGAACTGTGAATGCATTTCAGAGTCATACAGTATAGTAAATATTATATTTATTAAACAGCTCTCAGGAACACTTGATTCCAATTGGTCAATCAATACCTAAAATAATAATAAAACAGGCTCATCCAGGCAACTGAAGAAGACTTGTAAGAATGCTTTTTTAAAGTAATATAAAAAGAAAAAACAGTAATCCTAATTCATTATTTCTGTCACTACAATTATTTATCGTGAAAACCCATGAAAAATGTATGTTTCTTTCATATCTGCTAATTGCTACCAAATCTATTCTCAAAATGTTGTATTCAGTGAACTAATCAAATCATTCATCCACTTTCCTTTAGCTTAGTCCCTTTAGTTATCAGTGGTCGCCACAGCGGAATAAACCGCCAGCTTATCAAGCATATGTTTTACGCAGCGGATGCCCTTCCAGCTGCAACCCAGCACTGGGAAACAACCATTCACTCTCACATTTACATTCATACAATACGCCCAATTTAGCTTATTTAATTCACCCATAGAGCATTTCTTTGGACTGAGGGAAACCAGAGCACCTGGAGGAAACCTATGCCAATCAATCACAGAAACACCAACTGACCCAGCAGGGGCTCAAACCAGTGACCTTCTTGCTGTGAAGCGACAATGCTTACCACTGAGTCACCCGCCAATCCGAACTAATAAAATACTTCTAAATATTCTTTAATCAATATTCTATATCCAGTTATTTACTTATGTGGAAGATAGCCATGAAATCAGTGTGTTAATAGTAGTGTGTAAACAATGTTGTGTAAAAAGTAGGCATAATTGAAACTTTTAAAACTTCAAAACATCACTTTTTTAATTTTTAAGCTTACAAAATAAACCTTCATCTCAGAAACATGAATTCAATCGAGTATGTGTGAAGTACAAGTCATTTAGCTGATGTGGCCAAAAGGTAAATGCATCTCTACGCAATCCTGAGACAGTTATAATGTGTGTAAAAGCTTATAGGTAATTAAAATCAGCCTACATCAGAGAGAAAGAAAGATGTTTTTCTAAAACTGCTGAATAATGGCTCTACAATGAAGTTGATATAGGCCTGCAGCAAAGTACAAATACACAAAGAAAAACAAAGGAGGCGGTGTTATAAATCTATGGACAAGAACCAAGAGACCCTTATATCAAAACAAAACAGCCTGACCCACATGAAAATAATGAATCAAAGCAGGTTCTACAAGATGCCTTGCAGGATTGAAATAAGATAAATTATTCCCAGAAAAAAATGTCTTACCAAGTAAAGATATAATCCATTTTTAGAATGAAAAGTTCACTTACTTAAGACCTGGAATGTCCAATATGTTTGTGAGGCCTGTCCAGTTTATGTCCAACAGCTGAATGAGAAGGAGAGAGTGAAGGACATTTTCAATCAATACCCTGATCAAATTGCCTATTAGACATTCTGTTAACATTATAAACTACATATGTACATTATGAGTACATATATAGCTACATATCAACTAACTCACATTTGAGTATTGACAGAGCAGGTTAGGGTGAGTACAATAAATGGATGTATATGTAGTTAAATATCAAACATTATGCAGAAAGTCTACTAATACGCTACTGACTGCTACTTGACATGACAAAATTACAAACCATCTGAAAGAAACCATCAAAAATAAAGCAATCTCACTACTATATTTTACAGTATGTGTACTTCATGTGATCCTATGCTGTACGTAAAGCAATCATTCACCATAAAAAAGCTAAAAAGGCTGGCTCAATTTAAAATTTGAAAGCAACCAGCTTTAGGACATTTTTGAATTTACTCAACTTAAATAGAGTCAAGTGCAGTACTGGATTGACAGTTGAGTCAACTCAAAAAAACTCTACATCAAGTTGCCTTACAACTTTGAGTCAAATTTGTTTGTTGTTTTACAGTCTAGAGGTTTCAAACATTAAACAAACCCTTTTTGTTTTGCATAAACCTCTTTTTATAAAAATAAAACAAATCTGTCAATATATCTGTCAGTTGTTAAAAAATGTTGAGTCCCAAAACTATCTTATGATTTGACGGTCTTAAACTGTAAATAAATTACAGCTCTTATATATTAATTCATTTTCCTTTGGCTTAGTCCCTTATTAATCAGGGGCTGCCACAGTGTACCGCTAACTATTCCAGCCTATTTCATGCAGTGAATGCCCTTTCAGCCAAAAGCCAGTACTGGGAAATAGGGCTGCACGATTAATCGAAAAAAGATCACAATCTCGATTCGACCCAACACACGATCCTAATTCAGCTTTTTCTACGATTCAGCCAATTATATTTTCAAGGTTAGGAGAAAAGAAAAGGCGGCCGCAGAAGTCTTCACAGCAACATTGACACCTTCAAATGGAGTAAAAGTGTCCCATACTGTATTTTTAAGGTATAATTCACCAAAAACGTCATTTCTGTCTTCATGTAATGATGTATTCAAGGCAGCGAAATCGCACGTGAGCTGACGCACTGTTTGTTTACTTCCGAAAACGCAAGCATGCACGCAAGTGATGCCTTCTTTATTGAACAGAACGTGCATATGCTGTGAATAACAGGTAATGAAGTTGTAAATAACGTTCAGTTTGTTGCACAGAGTGATCGTTTGAGGGGCATGCATGAGGTTTGATTAGCATGTATGTGTTTTTCTCTCACAGTGACAACAGCCATGAACCGCACTAGGAAGTGAAAGTGAAACCTGTGCGCACATTATTTAAATGATCATATCGCATTTTAGAGTTATGATTACGACAAGCATTTGATATGTTTTTTTCTTTCACAGCAAACACAAAGTTTTGTCCATAAAAATAAATGTTTACTGTGTCAGCATAACAACCCAAGCCTATATTTAATGGAAATATAATGGTCTAATAATGTTTTTAATGACAGGTGATAAGCACATGTCTTAAACATAATAATTCAATTTTATAATTATGAATAGTTATATTCTGATGTCATCATTTTACAGTGAATTAACAAACAGGACATATTTGAAGTCTGTTCAAGTCCCCCATAATACAAAATTTAGCATTTTAAGCAACAGTAGAGCTACACACAGTCCTAATATTACTAGTGTCGTTTTACCATATGTTTTAGGAATTAACAATAATAATAGGCTAATCATATTAACCTTAATTTCTTAATTTTAAGCAAAAAAAAAAATTGTCATTCACATTTTGGCCAGAATCTTGCAGCCCTACTGGGAAATACCCACACACTCTTGCATTAACACACTCATACACTTCGGCCTATTTAGTTTTTTCATTCACCTATAGAGCATGTCTTAAGACTGTGTAGGAAACAGGAGCACCCGGAGGGAACCCACGTGAAGAGAACATGCAAATTCTAGACAGAAATTCCAACTGGCCAAGCCGGGACTTGAACTAGCAACATTCTTGCTGTGAGAGTGACAGTGTTAATCATTGAGCCACCATGCGACCCCACTCTTAAGAATTAAAAGGAAATCATAAAACTATTATTAAACACATAATTCTCAAGCATAATTTTACAAGTAGCTACTTGAGTAAATGGCAAAAATCTCAGAAAAATCACATATTTCACTTTTGTTGGAATGACTGTTAGGTTGTGCTTTGTTGTCGCACCCTATATTATAAGCAAATCTGACAACTCATAGAGAATGAATTTTTTACTTATAAATTTTATCACAATTTTCTGATAAAACAAATATTCATATAAGAAGATAAATGACAACAATGCAGATTCTCTCATGCTATTTTTATATTATGAGTTTTTTTTTTTTTTTTTTTTTTGCTGTTACCCCATATTTAATTAATTTCTTAGTCCCTTTATTCATTAGGGATCGCCACAACGGAATGAACCGCCAACTTATCAAGCATATGCTTTATACAGCGGATGCCCTTTCAGCCGCAAACCATCACTGGCAAACACCCATATACTACCACATTCACACTCATACACTACGGACAATTTAGTAAATTCAATTCACCTATAGTGCTTGTCTTCGGATTGGGGAAACCGGAGCACCCAGAGGAAACCCACTGGAACACGGGGAGAACATGTAAACTCCACACAGACATGCCAACTAACCCAGCCGGGACTCGAATCAATGACCTTTTTGCTGTGAGGTGACAGAACTGTAAAATGTGCTACACAAAAATATCTTGTATTTGCTCATAGAAAAGAAACAAGTACAAAACAAAATGGCTTGCAAAATTAATTTATTTTCTTCTAGGCTTAGTTCCTCTATTAATCTGGGGTCGCCAAAGTGGAACCAGCATATGTTTTACGCAGCGGATGCCCTTCCAGCTGCAACCCATTACTGGGAAACATCCAAACACACTCATACACTACGGACAATTTTGCCTACCCAATTCATCTGTACGGCATGTTTTTGGACTTGTGGGGAAAACCGGATCACCCGGAAAAAACCCACACGAACACAGGGAGAACATGCAAATTCCACACAGATATGCCAACTGACCCAGCTACCTTCTATATATATACATGCCTCAGGTAATAATTTAACATCAGCATGGATGTAAAGCCACACTATAAAGAAAGCACAGAAATAACAAGAGTACAGTATGTACTGTTAGTTACTGTAAAGGGAACGATCCTTATCCCATGGGGCACATAAACAGGAAAGTAAGAGGGAAGGACGGACAACAAGCAAACCATCTATTAAAACTGAAATGCAATCTAAAAATGTTCTGTTAGCCTCTTCAGTGTCGCCCACACTGCAGAGGATCATGTGAAGAAAGGCCATCACTGCAGTGCTACAGTCCAAACCCCTTTAGTTTCCCCACACCTGTCTCATTCAGGTCTACACTTCAGCTAGAATGAGACAGAGCTAAGACAACCTGCTGTGAAATTAGCCCTGCTGCTAATCTGGTATCCTGACAGACTGCTGAATCTGGGTCAGTGACGCTGTATGTCTGCCACTGCTATATGCACGTGGTAAAGCTATTAAGATCAGTTTTTGCTGGTTAGCAAACCTTTAAATAGAGGCTTAACCAGAGTCAGAAATTAGCTTTTTTATTCAGTGAAAATATTTCCAGATACATTCTTACCTCTGAATAGAAAGTTTCAGTTTTTTTTATTTTTTATTATTTGATCTGTGTTGTCTTTTATGTCAAATACTTTCATCAAGCACTTCCATCACACAGAGGATTATATACACCATTATCGATCACAACAAACTATTCAAAACTGTAATTTATTTACACAAAGAGCTCATTGTAGGTTAAGCCTGCAATATTAAGAGAGGTTTCCTTGAGGATCAGTTTTTGTAATTAGGAACTTTCCTGTTTCCACAGACATATCCACCACCCCAGGGTGTCAATAATTTCATTATTGTTTGATGCTGCATTACATAATACGAGCTTTTCAAAAACATGTATGGCCAGTTTTTAAAGGCCAACAGCAGTTAAATAAAACTTTTTAAGGGCTCTTATTATGTAATGCAGCAACTCTCTTGAAATGGGGTATATGCACGCTGACTTTTAAATTCAGTCAGCCAGCCCTAGGGCTTCTGGTTAAATGTCATCCCATACAAAATCGTTGCATTTAAGATCTGATAAAAAAAAAAACAACAAAAAAAAAACAGCGATCATCACTGCCTGAGCAAGAAGCACTGCATTAAATGATATTTTTCTGCACCATGTCTTATATGGACATTAATTTTACACCAGTATTTTCAATGGCATTTCTGCGCTTGCCTGCTTTCTTTCGTATATACGTTTTTTACTTTTACTTTACGTTCTTTATTGTCCACAAGTGGAAATTTAGCTTTGACTTCATCACACAACCATATCAGCCTTCACATTACACATTTCACGGGAAAAACAGGCAACACAAACACATTCAATATCATCACATAAATCACATTAAAAACTCAAATTAAAACCCTATACATACTCAAAACGCAGTTTTTAAAATTCCAATAGCAGTCAGCACAAAGGACATTAGATACACATTTTTCTTTACTTAAGGTTGCCTAAAACATCCTTTTGATCCTTTTTTACACTTTAACAACCAAATGGAAGATCTATTTAACTGATTATATTTTAATTACATGACAACATCCATGCTGTAAAAATAACCTTATGAAATTGAAAATAGTCACATAAAGCTTTCACTGGAAGTTCATTATTGGCTGAAAAACACTAGGTGTGCATATAGCCCAGGTTTGGGCAAACTTGATCATGGAGGGCCAGTGTCCTGCATAGTTTAGCTCCAACCCTATTTAAACAGACCTCCCTATAGAGTTCAAGTGATCTTGAAGACACTGATTAGTTTGTTCAGGTGTGTTTGACTTGTGTTGGACAAAACTCTGCTGGGACACCAGCCCTCGAGGACCAAGTTTGCCCATCCCTGATATAGCCTATTAACTAAGTGACACAATGGGGTGCTGTATAGCTTTAGTGGTCTTTGAAAACAAGGAGGTTTTGTTTATAATGAAAAAAGCGAGCACAGTTTATTACCTCACATCTGTGTCATTTGTAGAAAGTGCATTAAAAACGTCAAAAAAACAGACTGCAACATTTTTGAACATGGAAAGAAACAAAAATTAAACAACATTTTAGAACTAAAAACATTATCTTGTCTAATAAATATGTACACACTCGCTTTATGTTTGGCTGAATAAATTCAACCTTTACAGTCTTCCCTTTCATGTTTTTGTATTTATCATAATATTCCAGACCAAACGATGATCACAAAAGTCTGGAAGATTGATCTTATATTTAGCAGTAGCAAGACAGAGATTTGATGTTGTAATATGGGGAAAGTGAAACCAACATTATCAATGAACTGTGCTATATACAGTAAATGTACATGATGTTCCTACTGAACAAAAATGTGCACACATCGAATTGTTTCCATATGTTAAATACTTGTTACTAAACTGATTTTTTTTAGATAAAGGTTTGTCATTTAGAATGTAATGTAAAAATAAAATAATATAAAATCATAAGTCAATTTAAGATATTAATACCGATTAATTATAATCTTAGGCTTATATCTGAGAATCAACTGCAGCCCTAATGTCACTGACGGTCATATTCAGGAAGAAACCCTCACCTCGTCACTGCTCCTTAATAAAGAATTACCACAATGTGCAGATATGAATCTAAGTCATTCATCTGCAAAACGTCACACACAGCTGACCATCTCTGACTCGTACATTCCTGAGGATTTCCATGATACACACTATACACACTGAAAACTAAATATTTCAGGCTTGTTAAGAAGAACCAAGCATCTGCCCACTCACATTCCAGCCTTCTGATGTTAAGTCTTGTCTTTTTCTTATCTAATCTGGCTTCACTAAGACACTCCTTCCATGACATGCATCTTTTCTAGGAAATAACACACATTGTGACATTCTACAGTATGTAAAGCAGAAACCTGCCTGTGTTCAAATTTATCTTTATCTTGCAAACAAAAAGACAACAGAGCTGGTTTGTGCATTTTAACTCTACTATTAGAGTTAGCTACTATTAAAGAAATATAAATAAAATGGATATCAATTCTCAAGTTAAATGAATTTGTAAATATACAGCCAGCAACACAAAGATGATGGGTTTGTGGAACAGATAAAGTACACAACCTTAAATGCAATGCTAAGTCACGTTGGACAAAGCATCTGTAGAAATTAGAGCTCAATTTGACAATATAGTTTGGTAAGCTAAATTGTCCATAGTGTATGTGTATGAATGAGTGTGTATGGGTTTCCCAGTGATGGGTTGCAGCTAGAAGTCTGCTACGTAAAACATATGCTGGATAAGTGGGCGATTTAATCCACTGTGATGACCCCAGATTAATAAAGGGACTAAGCTGAAAAGAAAATGAATGAATAAATGAATGAATGAAAGTGTTTTATATTTTATTCATATTTATTTTATATTCCTGCAATTTTATTAAAGTATTTGCCCTAAAGTTCCTAACACAGTGAGCAATATGATCACACATGTAAAAGTGCATTTCTGAGTATTTGCTTTAAAATGTAAATAAAGAAATAGTCCTTTACATGTGATATGTTATTATTATTATTATTATTATTATTATTATTATTATTATTATTATTATTATTGATACAACTATTAATTTGTTGAATTTATAGAAATAGTACTAGTAGAAACCAGCCCTGGTAGAAATGAAGAATAAAAGTATTATACAATAATGAGGAGTTTGCATGTTTTCCCCATGTTCTCATTGGTTTCCTCCAGGTGCTCCAGTTTCCCCTGCAATCCAAAGACATGTGCTATAAGTCTTGAATGTGTGTGAATGTGTAAGTATATGGTTGTTTCCCAGTACTGGATTGTGGCTGGAGAGGAATCTGCTGCTTAAAACATATGCTGGAATAGTTGGTGGTTCATACCACTGTGGCGACCCCAGATGATCAGGGACTAAGCCAAACGAAAATGAATGAATGAATGAATGAATGAATGAATGAATGAATACAATGGAGGAAAAAAAACATAATATTTTTGGGAAAATGCACACATTCAGATTCAAGATGAGTCCAAGAGAACAGGCAGCAAATGTAGACCAACTAGTTTGACCAACTACAGAAGCATTTAGCCAAAGGGAAACAAGTCTTGCAATCAATCTTTTTTTAGAAGTCACTGTAAAAAGATATGTCCAGTCTTAGAAATACAAGCAAATTTTTTTTTTTAAAAGTCTGGTCTGAGACGCTTATGCAACCTGCCCCAGATGTACTACATATTACAATACCAAACTATTTTAGAAACAAGCAACGTGTCTTGAGTCTACATTAGGCAATAAAAACAGACAGTAACACTAAAGTGTTTGAGTTCATAACTTACTGGCTTCTTGAGGAAGAAGAGGGAAAAGGCACCAACCAGCGGCATATTCCCCAAAAGTGGCTCAAGAATCACCCGCAGAACTCCATGTAGCTATTCAGACACAAAATAAGAATGAAATATTACATAAAACGTTGATATGTGTGAGGGAATCTCTCTGGAGAATTTGGTGTTTCCTCCTCTTGTTAAGTAACTTATATCTCTCTTTAAAAAAAAAAAAAAAAAAAAAACAGAAAGGGTCTTCACCAGATGATATTAAATAAAAGCATTTTGGCTTCAAGAAAACCTTTTTAATGCATCATTACCATGAGCCAAGTAATCCCTGAAGAGAATGACAAATTCAACTTAAAAGTTTCTTTTCAAGTAAATATATTATATTCTAAGGATGGTTAGCATCTCTGAAAAACAAGGATATGTTTTTTGCAGAGAGAGAAAGAGAGGCGCTGTCAAACCAACCTCTATGTACAGTACCTCAGGCTAATGATGAATGTTTCAGGATCTTGACACTGATGCATTTATTTATTTTGCTCATGACAGCACTCCACATACGCTTAGTGATATCCTAAAGGACATTTACCTCCACAACCATCACTGCCACTCTGAGCTCCAGAATTATTAGCTTCTGTTTTAAACAAACTGTCACTAGCAAAGAGCTGCTAATGAGAACAAATAATTCAAGGCAATGTCCTTCGAGCAGTCATTTGCAGAATCACAATGCGTGGAACAAGGTCATACAAGATCACCCGATGCATACATTAAAGGGATAGTTCACCCAACACTGGCAATTCACATTCAATTCAAGTATCGTTTACTTTAATTGTCTCAAACCTGCTTGACGTTCTTCTGTTAAACACAAAAGAAGATATTTGGAAAAATCGAGAAACCTGTAACCGTTGAATTCCATAATTTTGGGGATTTTTGATTACAGATTATCAACTTTCTATTAAATATCTTATTTAGTGTTCAACAGAAAAAGAAAATCATAACATTTTGGACCCACTTAAAGAGTAATGCAATTTAAACGGAAATTTAACCTTCGTTCTTATTTGTTTCTTATGTCTTTAAAAAATGGTATTGTTAATAATGTTGAATTACTCATTAAGTGAGTGTGTATATAGTAATGCCTTTTGTTCAGTTTGTTCATTTTTTTGTGCTATTAATAAACTCATTATTCTTTCATTCATTTTCTTTTCGGCTTAGTCCCTTTATTAATCCAGGGTCGCCACAGCGGAATGAACCGCCAACTTATCTAGCACATTTTTACACAGTGGATGCCCTTCCAGCTGCAACCCATGTCTGGGAATAACAAACTCATTAATCTTCATTAATTTTAGACATGGCATATACTGTATGATGTACAATAAAAGCACGTAAAAAAAAGTTATTTATACAGTATATATATATATATATATGAAAAGTGTTTTTAAACTAAACATAGATTTTTATTTGGTTTGCACATGCACTTCCTGAATTCTTTCAAGGAATAAATTGCAATTTTTCAAGAAGAATTAATTAAATGAATAAAAACTACATTATTTCATTTACCAGAAACAAAAATATAACATTACACTGAATTCATTATTTTTTTTGTGTGCCACCCCAAGATTTGGTGCGGCCTCTTCTTTTCTGGGGGCGCCACTGACTCCCACTAGTCACTTTGGTTGGTTGAAAATAATTTTCCCAGATAATAATTCTTAAAAGCAGGGTTCGACAATAAGGATGGTCCAATATGCATGCACAGGCGATCGAGAAGCAACACGACTGACAAAAATAATTGCTTTCGCAACTTCGCGCGAGCAAAGCAGGTGAATACCGAATGAGAGGATAATCACTCGCGCTAACAGCTGAGGTGCTGCGCGCGACTGTTTATAACGTGTGCGCGCTCCGTTTCCTTTTGTGAAGCAACTGTGTCTAGAAATACAACTGATGCGATCGGTTCTCTTACAAAAAGACTGAACAAAAAGGGAGGAACATGCACATAGAGTCTTGCTGCTTTCAAGAGTTCCAGAATTGACTTATTGTAAGCAGCGCCAGTTGCTTTCGGTTTAACCATTCTTTAAAAAGATACTTTATGGGTCTATCATTAACCATGCGTGTGTGATCATTCTTTCATTATCACAGTATGTTTTTTACCTGCTTTCTTTTGCATTAATATGGTTTAATTATTATTTTTTCACAATAACATTGCTTTAATGGGAGAATAACTCCCCATTTATGTGTAGTTAACTAGTGATCTGGAACCTTTAGCCAGGATATATGACTGTGCATATGTTTTGTTAAATAAAAAGTATAGTATTCAGCTATATTTTGCATGTTTTCACATATTTAAAATTTATGGCTAAGAAATAATTAACTGTTTATTTATGGTGTGGTCAGAGATCAATTGGGTAAATCCTTTTGGGCTCTTAAAATTATGAAAACTAATAGTAATATATGAAACCCTGACCCATTTGCTCATGATTATTGAGATATACGTGAAATAAAAAAAAAAAAAAGTGAAAAAGTGAAATAAATGAGGAGGCGTGTAGAGATAACGCAAACTCTAAATTAAGTAATTTTAGCATGTCAAAGTCATATTTATATGTATAAAATATATTTTCCCAACAAAAAAATTGTGGCTAGTGAAAATGGCGAGTGGCTAGTAATATTGGAAAACTACTAGCTACAGTGGCTGGTGGTCAAAAAAGTTACTGTTAAGCCCTGTATATATATATATATATATATATTGTAGCGAGCGATTACATGCCACGTCGCCCTGGTCGCTAATTTCACCCAGCTGGACCATCATCAAGCCAGGATCGCTCACAGCTGGACGGCATCAAGCGGAGAGACATATAAGCCCAACCTACGCCAGGAGAAGATGAGCTTCATTCTTTCTATGACTCCCTGTGCTAATGCTTGTCTCTTTGTCTCTCCGTAGCGGACTCCAGCTCGTGACGATCCTTCACCCGACTACTCACTGTCCTTCACCTACTTCCCGGAGCACCAGAGCACCTCACCTTGAAGAAGAGCACCTTTTACACAACGCACAAATTTGTAAATAAAGCACCCCTCCGGGGACTTGTCTGTAAACTCATCCTGTTGTGCCGCTGTTTTCCCTCTGCCTCGCTACAATATATATATATATATATATATATATATATATATATATATATATATATCTTGAGAATTTTCCATTATCTTTTATCAGCGAGCGGTTACTTCACAGGAGCTATTAAACCAGGCCTTGCACTTCACTATGATACTACCATAGAGAAAAAGTGGAATGCTAAAAGAGAGTCTTTCCTGCTACCTGCTTTTCATCCAGTCTAAATACATCCTACATAAACACAGCATCATACATGGAGAGATTGCTCTGCTACACACTTGATGTGACAGACTGCAACAAACACATAAATCATGCACGGAACAGTCTTTGTGTGAGCATGAGTGTATATTTCCGATCCTGTACTACAAAACAGTACAAGGGCAATTCAGTATTTGGTTACACACCTCCCTATAAATACACACACCCTTTCGGTAAAAATAGGCTCCGTTCAGTCGACTGGATTCCTTCCATGAAACACGTGGTTGCATCACAATATAGGGAAGAGCTTCTCCGTATCCAGCAAATTAACTCTCTGGCCTTGGCTAACATAATCCATTGGGTCACGGAGACAAGTTCAGTGGAAGATGCCATACATAACATGGGCTGCTGTGTATGTGTTGTGAACAAATGATAGTGGAAAACACAACAGAAGACAATATGAGAAGATATAACAACATACCTGTATACTTTTAATCCCCGCTCTGCAGTAGTACCTTTTGACATCCACATCAATTTCAGTGTTCCCAACATAACTGTAAAGGAAAAGACAAACATTGAAAGCAGCAGCACAACCAGGAGGATCAAAAGACATCAAGAAGACTCGTGACAGTGACTTCACCTGATCTGAAGGTCCATTATGATCTGCCGTTTGTCCACATTTTCAGAGTAAACTTTGACCCCATTGATCCTGAGAGGCTGTGATAGAGATGAATGCAGATGTCCCGTCAGGGGGGAGGGGGGGAAGCAGGGTGACATTTCTTTAACCAGCATGCATTCCTTTACAGAGCCCTGACTACATCAACTATTTCCATCTGACAGCTGGTCAGCTTTTCCAAAAGGTTTACATTTCTTACGTCAGACTTTCTACTCCTGATGCAATTTGAAGCTTTTTATTGTCAAGCTATGTCTTCAATGAGGAATGAAAGGTGCCACGAACAATATACACAGTTCAGACTGACTAGATAAGTATACTGATATTATGATAGAAATTATACTGTGAGATGTGGACACGTGAGAGAATTTCATTCAGAATGTTGCCTTAACAGATGACCCACGTTTAGAATGTACAGTCAATTACCCTGTTTTGTTTTACTGTGCAAAATCCTATTGCTTTATTTTATGTTGTGTGTGTAAGTGTCTGAATAACCCGGGTTAGTAACTGTATTATGGACCAGCCCCTGCGATCGGGTACTATACCAGAGTTGCCGACCTGGGGGTGTTACAGACTCTACTGAAAATCTGAAGACAGGGGGAGGGATAATATTACAGGTGTTTTCCAGAAGAAATTTAAAAACAGGAGAGTGGCAGGAGATAAATCTGAAATACGGGAGACTCCCGAGAAAAACATGAGTGTTGGCAGGTATGGCTGGAACGACTGTCTTTGTTTTGGTTCTTTTGACCCGCCCACTGCCAGTTTAGCCAATTATAATTCAGCACCCCAGGTTGCCTTGGTGGTGAAAAACCATGAATTTCAGTCAATCTGTCATGAAGGCTCTCAAAGTGTGCATCTGTGACCGAAACGTGACCTCTGGTGGAAAGTAGCTGACTCCAAAATGAGACAAAGACTTAGAGTTACAGACGATGTTATTAATTAGCAAATAATATAAATATTACAAACATAGCCATTAGGTGAGCAGGTTACATTGTAATCCTGTGTCATAACAACATGCTACATGTCGAGATTTGCAGTGATTAGCAATTTGGCTGTTTGCACCGGACAAAACACGCCAGAAATTTAAATGCAGCCATTCAGAAGCACAGAATAGTGCATTTACTGCACTCCAACGAAATAGTAATGTTTATAATTTAATTAATACATATTAAACATCTTTAACATTATTAAATGCACATGCTGAATCACTGATATGTGTTGGTTTTGAGTCACAGTTCTAAAGTTCAATTTTAAACGTTTCTTTTTTATTTTCAAGATCTGAGGTGAACTATCTGCTGCTACCTTCAGTAGTATGGCAATAAAGATCATGTAAAGTGTCATTCAAACTCACATTGTTAGCATTTAACACTGAATAAAGCACATGCGATGTATCTGAGGTTGACATTGTCAGTTTATCATGTTGTTCAGCTGCAAGAAATAGAAGCCGTTTCTAAAATATAAATGTAAGGGTCTGCAACTTAGAACAAAAACACCTTTTAATATGGAAAATATTACTTCTATGCCATGGTATTGCTTTTATTTAGAACCCGATTTAAATCAGCCTTAAATCAGCCTTTAGGCTCGATAGTCAGGCACACTCCTGTTGGTCCTCAATCTGGCAACCTGCGATTGCATGTATTTTGAACCAGGCGTGCTATACCTAACTCAACCACTGGGCGTCAAACTTACAAACCGCACCTTTAATGCTGTATATTGTAGATTTGTATGTTGTTTTAAGAAAACCAATAAAAAACTTAATTTTAAAAAATAACTTTTTGCTTCCCTCCAAAAATGAATTAAAAAATAAAATTGTACTACAAAAAAATAAAATATTTATAATTAAAATGTTAGGAGAGTTTTCGAAATTGGAGTTTATAGTTGCCTTGGGTTGGTTGGCACTTGGCACTTCATGTTTAATCATTTACAATTAAACATTTATATTTCCAATAGCAGTAACATACTACACAGGTCATGAACAAGCTTTTTGTCATTTTACTGTAAGTGGACTAAAGCACTTAATTAATTCTTTAACTACCCCACAGAGAAAAAAGCAAGAAAAAAATGTTTGGATTGCATTTCTTAACTCCTAATGACACTAGTTAACACACTCAATGTGTTTTTTCAACACATTTCATAATTTCTAAAATATCTACCTCTACCAAATGGTAGATATGTCGGTTTATGATCATTAATACATATACTATGAAAAGTATTCTAACAGAAATATAATTGCTCTAATTTGATTCTTATAATAAACCATATAACTTTGATGGAAACAATGCTGGCAAGACCGCACACGTCTGATGTTGCTCACAGTTGTCCAAGGGACCACTCAGGTAGTGAGCATGAAAAATTTGTGGGAGCATTGCATACATGACTGTTTCAAGCCATTACAATACAAGCTACACTGACATTAAATCTCATTGTGAACTGTTTACTGCACAAACCAGCTTTTCACAATGAGATGTTTGGAGAGGCTTTTGAAAAGAAGCTTAATTATATTTACTCAGTTTTATCGAGTGTGTAGTGTTTCTTACAGCAGTGGTCAGCTGACTCTTTTCTTACTGTTCAAGGGATTAAAAAGCATCAAGGTTGCCTGCTGCTGTAATCAGGTGTACACACCAGTACAGTTACACTGGCTCAGACTGGATAAATGGCCTTCTGACGAATAATATTTGTAAAGAAAACATGTTTATGCATATCTAAAAAAAACTCATGCTACGGAAGGTTGAATTCTTTTGAAGAGTAGCTACAGTAAAATGGGATGCAACAAAAGCTGCAAATTACTGGCATTTAAATGTTTAAAATTTTTTAGATCTTATCAGCTTTTAAAGTGTGTGTGCGCATGTGTGTGTGTGTGTGTGAGAGAGAGAGAGAGAGAGAGAGATCATATACTCAAAGGAAAGGGCTGGACTACAATGTTAATTCTATTAAGTTTGGATGACATTTCTTTCAAATAATTAATTAAATTAATTGTCATTTAAAACTTTCTTTGTCTTCATTTGTTTTTATTAAAAATCAGGGAAAACTATTTATTTTTCCAAATACTGATTTCTTTTGAAGTTAAAACTCATTAGTATTGCTTTGTTTAAACGTTAATATAAACATGTTTGAAAACATGGCAAATTTTATTTTAAATTTGTATGAAATTAATTAGAAGTGGTTTACAGAAGAAAAAAACACACATATATAAACTATGTGTGGCGTATACTAATTTTTGGAGAGAAAAAAAAAATCATCTAAGTGATGAATTGCATATAATGTTAAAAGATAATAACTGAAAGCCTGTGTTAGACACAACAGTATAACCTTGAAATGTTTCACTACAATGCTGTAACTCATTCTGCCTATAAATATATACAATAAATAACTAAAACATATATAGAGGCTGTAAAGATTTAGGTTGGGCTGGACACACTGTAAAGCCACACATGAACAAGCATATGGTTTCTTTTTTTTTTTGGTCGCACTTTATGTTAATCCACAATTTACACTATTAACAAACCATTACCTACAACCTTAAGCTCAAGAAACTACTAATAAGCAACTTATTAAGGTAGTAGTAAGGTAGTAGTTTGGTTTAGATATTGGGTAGAATTACTGTTGTAAAGTATTATCATACTTTACCTGTGCTAATCAACAGAGAATATCTTAATAATAGGTAATTGATAATAATAATCAATGGTGTAAATTGTTACTTCGACTGAAGTGTTACCATTTAGTTTCAGTTTTTTTAACTAATTATAAATTGAGACTTTAGTGACCAAATAGTAAGTAATGGAAAGTTGATATGAATAGAATACAATATCACAATCAGACTTATATTGTCTATGAGGTAGTGTTGTCAAATATTAATTTATTGACAAATATTGATACTGAAATATTTTAAATGATACAATCTTGCTTTTGGTTAGTATCAATACTGGCTTTGCTCTCTCTTCTAATCAGCAGGGATATGAATAATTAATAATAATAATAATTTTTTTTGCCTTTTGGACTTAACTTATGGTCTTTTGGACTTATGGCCTGCTGACGTATCTGATATTAGCCTTATGTGGTATAGTTATTGTTTCCCTTTTTACTTACTTTGCATACTTTTAACATTGTGGAATTTAATCCCCAAGGTATCAAAAATGGAATCGAATTTCGATATTTTTTAAGGTATCGTATCAAAGTTGGAAATTCCAGTGCCAACACCTTATTATGTGGCCTCATGTGGATAAGATACAAGGGATATACAGTATGATTACAATGGTGTTTTTGTATAAAGTGTTAGACAGATTGGGCAAAGTTCTGAAAAACACAAGCCAGTTTGACTGATGTTCTGTTAAACACGGGAGCATAGATTTGCATGTCTTCTAATAGAATGGCGTCAGTGAGAGATGAATGTTGACAGACCATGAGAACTGCATACCTTATCTCCCAGATCGATCTTGGTGAAGCTGAATGTACTGAGGTGTGCGTTGGATTCTTTGATGGCTGGCTCAATTGTTTCCTTAAACAACTTGTCAACAAACTGACACACGTAAGGCCACATTTGGTTCACCGTCTGAAAAGTAAAGAGGGTTTCTGTTCAGCACTTTTTGCGACAGAGGACAAATGAGGCACTTGAGGCATCTTTGATTCCCACTGCAACTGAAACTCATTAGTTAATGGAGCAGTTTAACTGTTGTTTGTTACTGTCATGGCTACATTTGCTGAAAACAAAACAGTGACTGTGTTGCTACTTCAGAATTATAAAGTGTTATCTTTATCCCGAGTGAGATATTGAGCTTTATAGGTTTTATTTTTTTAAATACTCAAATCTCCAGACCCCATTTTAAAAAATAGTGCAAAACAAATGTACACACTACAGTATAAATAAATTATACAGAATATGAATATCTGAGTAACTCAGTTTTACAATTTATAATTACAAAGTAGGGTGACACGGTGGCTCAGTGGCTAGCACTGTCGCCTCACAGCAATTAGGTCACTGGTTCAAGTCCAAGCTGGGTCAGTTGGCATTTCTATTTAATTAATAGCATTTTTTTTTTGTGGTTTTCACCTCTTTTTTTGATAGGACACTAGAGAGTATAGACAGGAAAGCGTGGCGAGAGGAAAAAGGGGAAGGATCGGCAAAGGACCTTGAGGCAGAAATCGAATTTTGGTTGCCGTAAACACCCGAGTGCCATATGTCCACGCTCTAACCCAGGGGTGGCCAAACTTGGTCCTGGAGTGCCGGTGTCCTGCAAAGTTTAGTTCCAACCCTAACCAGACACACCTGGGCAAGCTAATCAAGCTCTTACTAGGCTTTCTAGAAACATCCTTGCAGGTGTGTTGAGGCAAGTTAGAGCTTAATTCTGCAGGACACTTGCCCTCTAGGAACGAGTTTGGGCATCCTCATTGAATAATTCCAAAATTATGGAGTACCTTTAAAAATTCAGGTTAAAGGTACTGGATAACATAGAGGTAAACAACATTCGTATGAACAGGCCTGGAACATGTTGGAACTTGACTACGTGTAAATTCTCAAAGCATCTAAAAACAATCCCTCCATGAAAACTGTACAGGCATGCTTACTGCCCTGACACAACAGATTTATAAAAACTTGCACATAAGCAAATTAATATTCATGATGTTCTGAATTGCGCATATTTGTTTTAAAAAATTTTAACATTTATAAGAAATGTAAACATTTAATGAAGTTGTAAAATGTTGGCTAATTTGTATTATACAAAACAATGAGAGTTTTTAACTCTCCCTTGTTGAGTTTAAAACATCAGAGACTCTGCAGTGTTTCATGTAAATAGTTTTGCATGGTTTTGAATGTTGCAGACTTATTTTGCAGAAGCATGAGGCCATTCAGGTACATACATTTCACCACTGGGCAAAATGCCAATGAAATATTCAAATCAGGAAACTTACATGAAGACTGGGAGCCACTGGATGTATAAGTACAATGAATATTTAAAAGTGAAAGCAGCTGATTACACAGCTGCATTTTTCCACCCTGAGGGTTTTCATTTTTGACACAGAGGGTGAAAAATGGTGGTTATATGTAGCGTAACATGAGCAAGTGCAGTGGATTATATCAGCGGTGCACAACCAATAATACCCCAGAGAGAAAGAGAGAGAGTATCATATTCCAGATTAGTAACTGCAGACACATGTATTGGAGAATGGTGGATGAACTCTACTTAGAGATGATGACGGACAAGCAAATGTTAATTTATGATTCGCTCACCTTATTAAGCCACTCAACTCTCTCCACATCTGGATAATGAACCTGGTGAGAAAGCAGACAAATTCATCATATTAAAAGGAAAGAGAGCTTCTGTAAATATACTGCAGTGTGTCTGAGGAATTCCCTCAGGCAAACACACACACACACACACGCCCTTAGTACACAGAGGTCATAAAAAATAAACACAGGTTATGTATTCAAGTGTAAGGTTTATTCTCTCCTTTTCTTTCACTTCAGTGGTGTCATCATGTCTACATGTACAGCAGTGGCATCAGCGTTGAGTGTAGCTGCAGTTGAATCCCAGCGCAAGTAAAATGCTTAGCCTGCATTTGTTTCGTGCAGTGGGAGGGGTGCAGATGACACACTAACCTAGCACTTTTTAGGCATTAAGCTTTAGTATTAATTCTGAGCTCACAATTATTCCACCAAATTATGGCTGTAGGATATTGGAATAATCTGATGTTGGGATAATTTGTATTTCCGCTATAGATGAGTATGAATATTTCACCAGATATCTTAAATAGCTTAATTAGGAAAGAATACAGCACCTTAGATCAATTGTGGTGATTTGAGTGAGTCATATATAATCAAACGTAATTTAAAACATGCATATGATCAAATTACAAACATAAATAAATACAATAGAGCAAAGATAAAAGTGAAACGTCTAGCACTTTGTGGTTTTCTATGTAGTTTAACAGTATTTAGGTGAAGGGGTTGAATAATCAAATATAAAATAACACTGCATTACTCTTCACTGTATAAACAATTACATAAAAATGAATCTTCATTAAATTCTAAGCTACAAAAATTATAATATTATTAAAATATACATTTTTATAATTTATAATTTCCTACTTTAAAGCTCTATTGAATTCAAACAAAAAGTCACAGGCCTTAAAACATGTGAATGATATACTTTAACTCTATCAAGCTTAAACGCTGCAAACCTCATCTAAACATGTAAACTATAATCTAGACCAGTGATTCTCAAAGTGGGGGTCGGGATCCCCTGGAGGGGTCACGGGACAATGAGAGGGGGTCGCTTGGTGATTAAAAAAGATCTTATAAATTTGAATAAACTTTTATGATTACAATTGTTAATCCATACCCTACAAAGGATAAAAAAGTTACATAAAAAATACAATATCCAAACAAAAAAACCATCAACCTTTCGTTTTTTTGTTTTGTTGTAGTTGTTTTTCTTTGGATTGCATTTGGATTTGCTTCTTAAACTAGATTAACGATAGCAATAGCGTGAGTTGCACCAGATTTTACGGCACTAGCTAAACTTTCTGACACCTTTACAGCACGTACGTATATTTAAAATAAATACAGGACACTGAATATGGAGGATGATTTTTAAGTGGCAGTCTCCAAAATTAAACCAAGAAAAGACTTGTGATGTAACCTAAACATTGTGCCCACCAGTCTCATTAGGTGAGGTTAATGTTAAATAATAGTAAAAAAAATGATATGGTTGTTAGACGGTTGCACTTTTTTGTGTTGTCAATGTGCTTGTGTTTATATAGGCCTATTGGTTTGTGTGAGTGTTGTGTGCAACGTTTGTATGATTATAGCCACTTACGAAAATAGTGGGGGTTGCAAGTCATTAGCATTGTTATTTTGGGGTCTGGGGCCGAAAAGTTTGAGAACCCCTGACTAGGGGTGTCCAAACTCAGTCCTGGAAGGCCAGTGTCCTGCTGAGTTTACCTTCAACTTGCTTTAACACACCTGCCAGAAAGTTTTTTATATCTAGTAAAAGCTTGATTAGCTGGTTCAGTTATGCTCGCATAGGGTTGGAGCCAAACTCTCCAGGTTTGAACATCCCTGATATAGACTCAACTGTACACATCTTGTGATGTGACTACTGCGGATGTGCACAATGTGATATGAGTGCCGAAATTATATATTGTGCAGCCCTAAAGCTAATGTTGTTCATTTTACAGTTGATGGATGCAAATTTTGGTTTCTGGCCAAGGAGGCAAAGGTCAAAATATGAGCAGATAAGTAATTGAAAATGTGATCTGTTAAGCATCATACTCAAAAGATACTCATGTATATTGAAAAGGTCTTATAGAAGAAAAAGTCAAACTCAGAAAACTCACTCACTTTCCTTTGGCTTAGTCCCTGCTTTATCAGGGGTTGCTAAATTGGAATGAACCACCAATTGCTCTGGCATATGTTTTATGCAGTGGATGCCCTTCCAGCCACAACACACAAAAACCAAACAATGTACGCTACCTGCATACACATGTGACTTTGGGCACCATGATTGATTGACTAATTGATTGATTGATTATTTAATCAATAATAACCGACAGAAACCTTTCGAGTCAGTAGGACCACAGACACACACACACACACCATTAAATACGGAGGCTTTGATAAAGATGTTTACATGACTGACTGAATGTTCCTTTCATGATCCTGTTTTACATGTAATAGCACATAATTTAATTAACGTCACTGCGTCACCACACTATACACATTTACTCCGAAGTTTCATGCAATTTCGGGTGTTTTATTTTTAATTTGTCGACTTTAACTGCAGTTTGGCACTTTCATTTTCAAGCAGGAACATTTCATTCATGCACCTCTTGACAAACGAAATACTGGATGAGAGTATGAACTGTTGGAAGAGTGTTGTTTTATTGGATTTTGATACCACATATCAATGTGGGGAAAAAACTGCCTTTTGCGATGCAGGTGTCTGTGATCCTTCACTGACTTGGTAGGTGCAGAAAAAAAAGTGTCAAACAGCTGTATGTGTATAGACTATCCTGTTGCAAATTGCGGCGAAAAGGCTTACATGGCGGTAATAGTTTGATTGCGGTGTTCACATGTCAGTACTGCTCTTTAATTATGCAACTAAAATAGGCATACTTCACATGTCTTTATACGATTTCTGTTTAGAATATGGCCTTAATCAGATTAAATTAATCAAAAAATGCTGTTTTCATGGTAGACTCTTAATCGCATTAAAATCAGATTATTGGTGTCCTTATAAACATCCTCAATGAGTGATTTCAAAACCTTTCCGTCCCCTACTGACTACTATAAAAGCTGTTGTCTAAACTCAAGAGTGACCAAAGAAATACCAAACAAACAAATTGCAAAAACATTAATATAACAATTCAGACTGAAATAACGGTCACATAGCCTATAAGCAACAAAAAATTCTGGTGTCCAAACTCAGTCCTGGTGGGCCAATGTCCTAAATATTTTAGTTTCAACCCCAAATAAACACATCTGAACCAGCTAATCAAGCACTTTCTAGGCATCTTTGAAACTTTCAGGCAGGTGTGTTGGAGGAAGTTGGAGCTAAACCATGCAGGACGCCAGCCTTCCAGGACCGAGTTAGGACACCCCTGGCCAAGATTTTATAAATAATAGTTCACCAGCATTGACCATGTCACTTTGAGCTAGACTTTTTTGTAGAGATGTAGGGATGGGGGGTATGGTAAGAGAACAGTGGGATGAAAGGGAAGGGAAGTAAGAGAAAAAAATACACTGAGCAGGTAGATAGGTTGATCGGGCGTCCTATGATGATGCCCAGAGACTCAGAGTGGGGGTACCATCGCTGTAATATTTTGGTAGAGTGATTGGACCCCCGATTCAACCTAGGAGTGAAGAGAGGGTAATAGGAGGATTGTTAATGGGAAGCAAGGAAATGGGAGGGTGGGTTCAAGAGAACTAGAAGAAAAGTGCTAGAGGCTGGTCTGCCTTAAATAAGTTTTCAGGAAGAGCCCAGGGAGTTTTCAGGGAGAACCAATCACCTAAAACCAAAAAGTTTTAGGTAGTTGGTTAAGAAGACAAAGTGAGGCATCTGCCGCAGAACCTTTGTTAACAAATTAACTCCATTAATTGCATTCTGAGGAAATATCAAAAATATAACATTTCAAAAGAATAATTTACTAACCACACACATTACACTACATTTGAAACAAGTGCAGCAAATGCATAGGCCATATTTGAATCTCACCACTATGGAGATGCAACTGCAAAACCATAAATGTTTCTCTTCAAGACACTACTCAAAAGATAAAAGGAAAATCCCAGGTAAGACACATCAGTTAACCTAAGGGCACACTGCGCCTCAGTCAGTGAGAAGACACTGCGGTTTTGGCACCTATAAGGCTAGCCTCTTTCTTTGTCCTATAAAAGTAGCATCTTAACTGTGATCTCAAGGGACAAGCTGAGAGTGTGTGGCTTCCTTCTGCAGTGCACTCACTCTGAATTTATTTTCATCCCTAAACAGTGTTGGTGTAGCTTAGAGCGGAGAATTGTATATGACAGCACAGCACATTCTTCAGCAAGCTGTCCTACTGACATATTCATATCACTTCAGCATAACCATCAGTCGGGACATAAATCACCGGATGCAGTAAGAGCTACTTAGACCAACAGAGCTGGACTTCTCAGTCTCTCTCAATGTATGAATATTGAATTTTTTGTTTAGTATTAATGAAATGTGGAAAAGTCACTGAAAGTTCCCATGGTAACTGTGTTTCTATGGTCACTAGAGATCTCTGAAGATCTCTGCTCACTGAATATAGACCGCAGACAGATAGAGATCTATGGAAATGTTGCTTTAAAACTGTAGAAAGAGACTGCAGAGTTGTTTTGAACAATACCTAAAAGTAGTGCTGGGCTGATAAACGATATTAAAGTGAATCACGATACAATTTATGTCAATAACAATGACAAGCTCTGGACTTTTACTCTATATTGATCTAAGAGTCAAACACACAGCAGAAATTTACAATGAGAATTTATTAAAATATTATGCCATTTAATGGACAATCTAACTTTTGTGGCTTCAGTGATTGTTGGGATACTCTTTTAAATCTGGAAGCATTAACAACTTATATATTGAAATATAGTTGAATTCTGAATTCTTAGCCCCTCTCTTTATTTTTCCCCAATTTCTGTTTAATGGAGAGACGGTTTTGTCAACACATTTCTAAACGTAATAGTTTTAATAATTCATCTCTAATAACTGATTTATTTTATCTTTGCCATGATGACAGTGATTAATATTTGACCAAATATTTTTTCAAGACACTTCTATACAGCTTAAAGTGACATTTAAAGGCTTAACCAGGTTAATTAGGTTAACTAGGCAGGTTAGGGTAATTAGGCAAGTTTATTGCATAACGATGGTTTGTTATGTAGACCAGGGGTCACCAATCCTGGTCCTGGAGGGCCGGTGTCCCTGCTGGGTTTAGCTCCATCTTGCCTCAACACACCTGCCTGGATGTTTCAAGTATACCTTGTAAGACCTTGATTAGCTTTTTCAGGTGTGATTGATTAGGGTTGGCGATAAAATCTGCAGGACACCGGCCCTCCAGGAACAAGTTTGGTGACCACTGATGTAGACTATCAAAAAATATAGCTTAAAGAGACTAATAATTTTGACCTTAAAATGTTCATTAAATAATTAAATACTTATTCTAGCCGAAATAAAACAAATAAGACTTTCTCCAGAAGAAAAAAATATTATCAGACATGCTGTGAAAATTGCTTTGCTCTGTTAAACATCATTGAGAAAATATTTAAAAAACAATAATAATTCAAAAGGGGGCTAATAATTCTGACTTCAACTGTATATCTTTATTGTTCACTATGGTAAATAATCATCAAGATTGCATTTTTGGAATATCGCCCAGCCCTAACTAACAGTAAGAAAATTTAATGAAAATGGGATCATCTGTGATGTACAGGGTTTGCTGAACTGTTTTGTGACTTACTGGTGAGAAAGTTGTCAATAAACTCTAAAAACCTAAAGTTATGCTTTTATATTTAGATGTGAAAACTGCAAGAAGATTTACTTGAAACTCTGTAACACACTTAACTATTGCAGTAAGCCTGAAGGCCATACTTTGGCATGAGATGTTTTATTGTTTACATCATACAAACGCGTGTCTGACTAAATCAATCAATCGACTTCCAGAGAACCAGCATATGAATTGTGTAAATTTATCTTCTTCCAGCATAGCCCGCTTCCTGAGAACCAGAGAGAGAAACTAGCAAGAATGTCACCAGATCCTTCTTGGTGTAAGATAATGGTGTATAACATGTCTGGCTATTAAAAAGCACTGTTTTAAAACTCTCTGTAAAGAGTGAGAGAGACAGCGAGAGCAAGACTTCAAACTCATCAACATAAACCAGTTTAACAGACTTCTGATCTCCTAGGGGCAAGTTGCCTCATGCCACAATGTCATTTGATTAAGTTTGCAGAGTACTTGGTATATATATATATATATATATATATATATATATATATATATATATATATATAATATTATTATTATTATTATTATTATTATTATTGTATTGTTTTACCACAGAGGACTGCCTTGAACTGTGAGATTCTACCTACAAGCCAGAAATGACACCGGCATTTTTCTACTCAAGGCTCCAGTGGGCATCTCATCTCACTATCATTCATCGTTTCTGAATTCCGGCAATTTTCTTTTTCAATAATTCATCTACCTCTAATATTTCCATGGCTTTTCTGAGCCCAGCACAGCATGGGCATGTTTTTACACAAGAGTATAAAAATCAATCAGGTAAATTTGAAAATAAAAACAATGGCAGCAAGAAACATGATCATGTTTCTATTGTTAATAAGATGGGATGTTGGTGCCTGCATACTTCTGCAACCTATTACCGCATATTTTAAGTAATATAATGTTAACATTACTTTTGTAGAAGAACCAATGATAAAAAATCAGATAAAAACAGAAGACAAAACTTTTTTTAAAATGATATAATATTTTAAGTGTTTGTAATTGTAAAATATAAGGCATATTGATAGTTTTGAACAGTAATAAATAAATAAAATGTGAAACTATTTACAGACCTTGAAGAAGAGAGTAGTTAATTACGAATCGCCACACAGATTTTCCTGTAAATGGTAAAAACATGTTCTGACAGTGCACAGACTGCAGGGCATCCTCATTTGCAACTTTACAGAGTGACCTTGGCTCTCACCATTCAGGTTGAAATATCTCATTACACAACATAAATTCACTTTGCTGCACTTGGCTTTAAATGAGGAGCCAGAGGCTCAAGGCAATGCTTACAAGGGACAAAAATAGAGTCAAATCTGGTTGAGACAAGGCTTATGACAATGTCTTACAACTCAAATTTATTATTTATCAAAAAGAAATTAAAATTAGTTATTCTTTGTTTTATTAGTTATTACTTAAAGGTATTTCACATATTATACATTTTAGGCCTTAAAAAGTATTAAGATCATCTATAATTAAATAAAAGCTTTTGTGATTTCATTGTGAGTTTAGGTATATTAACCAAGTAGTGACAATGGTCATGTTTGAATTATTAAGCTAACCAATTAAGTCTCCAAGCATCTAAAGCTGTTATAAATATCATTGCAAATAAAATGTGATTATTCTTTTAAACAGCACTCTAAACTCTAAAATATAAGAATTTATGAATATTTTGAAGTAGTCACAATTTCAATATTGTGCATGATCATCATCACGATACACTGAAATACTAAATATCACCATGTGTTTAGTTGAGACAAAAGTTGCATCCTCTAACAAAACACTCTTCACCTTCACTGACAAAAGGTCAAAATGTCTTGCCTGACAGCCCAGGATCAGCAGGGGATCCAAACTTAATTGAGCTTCAAGCCTTTAGAATGGATCCAGCATTTAAAAAGCAAGTAACACAGTCTGCTGTAGCAAGCCTGAGTGAAGCACAACTCTTTTAACTGTAATTCACTGTTTATCTGTTATTGCAAATAGTTCCTTGGACTGACTGAATGACATCCTTTTAACTTTAAGCCTAAAACATTACCACTCTCAATAGCCTAAACAAATCATACTGAAAGCTGTCCTAACATCTTCCACTGACAATAAACCTTTCAAAGAGAGCCCAGTCTATTTTTATTCTACACATGTAATGATGGAAGGCTTTACAGCATCTACAGATATAAACTCCCTGTCAATTTCCCCTCTGTGCTTGTGTGCAGTCTATGATGTTTTGACAGCCAATGAAGATTTCAACTTACCCATGATGGTAACTCAGTGGCATCCAGCTCCTGTTTAACAGCGTCATCCGGATCAAAAATGGACATCGCTCTGCTTAGCCTGGTGTTTTTAGAATTGGTGTTTCTTTTCCAAAAGAAAAATATCGTAAGTGCGATTAAAAGCCAGCTGAAGCTGAACTCGAAATACCCCAAGACATAAATGGGGAAGATAACGACGAAAGTCTTGGCGAACTGCAGCCACGTGCGGGTCAGCTCGCTGCTGCAGGACAGGGGCTCCTCGCTGAGCTCCACCGGGGAAGACGAGCACGGAATCGCCCCGTTAGTCGGCTCAGCTTGTCCGTTATCCTTCTGTCCCGAGGCGACTGCTGTTTGGGAAAGGTTTCCGCGCACAGCCGTCATAACGTCCTCTGTCATATTCAGCATAAGATGAGATGTTACGTGCGGCTGTCAAACATGAACATTGTGCTGCGGGTTAAAAAGAGTAAACACCTACTTCAGAAAATCCCATGCACGCGGTACAAGTGCAGCGCTCCCAGATATCAATTTCACGTTAGTTCGTCTGTACACCAGTCCATTTTGACGCGAATGCTGTCCCGCTTTGCTTTAATTGTGGGATCGTGTCTGGCTGCTGAGTGGAGACGGAGATCAGCTGTCGCCTCGTCGGGTTTGCTGTGCTCTGGAGAAGCGCGTGCTGTTGTGTTGCTTTATGACAGACAGCTGAGAGCTTCACACACACACACACACACACACACACACGCTCACAGCTGCTCTCCTCTCTCGAGAGGTCAGTGCCACCCTCAGCCAAGCAACCGCACATACACAAACACTGTGAGGCTTTAAACAACAGTAAGGTGAAGAAGGTTTTTTTTTTGTATCGAACGGTCAGGTTGAGTGCGTGCCTGTTTTATCTGTGTCGTCTTTCTCTTTATCGTTCGTTCAGCTCAGTGTCTTAGGGGCCGCAAGGTAGTAGCGGACCCTCGGAAAAGTAGTAGCCTACCAAAATAATTCAAGTAATAGGCATGGGCCGGTATGATTCTGACGTTATGATAACCTAAAAATTGCACAGTATTGTGATTACTGCTCTAAAATAAATTATTTTAAATGTCTGGGTAGAAACATCAAATTTTTCCTCATATTGCAGAAATTATTTTTTGAAGTAATTTGTTATTTTTTAAAGAAAAGTTTTGTTAAAATAAAAAGAGCATGTAAACAACTATATATATATATATATATATATATATACACACACACATACATATATATATATATATATATATATATATATATATATATATATATATATATATATATATATATATATATATATATATATATATATATATATATATATATATATATATATATATATATTGACATATTATTTCATATTTGTGGCTAAGAAATAATTATTTATTTATATTTGATGTGGTCAGAGATACATTTGGTACAGTTGAGCTTTTTGGTGTTGAGCCTTGAAAAGTCCTGTGAAACAAAAACTAATTGCCATGCGACAAAATGGACAACCTATTTGTTCATGCACAGTAAGCAAGTTCATACACAAAAAAGTTAAATAAATGAGGCATGTGGACAAAACACAAGGTCTAAATCAAGAAATTTTAGCATGCCAAAGTCAAATTTATGCATATAAAATATATTTTTTCAACAACAAAATTGTGGCTAGTGAAAATGAGCGAGTGACTATGCTGGAAAACTATTAGCCTCAGTGGCTGGTGATCAACAATGTTAATGTCAAGCCCTGAAACAATATATTTTAATTAAAGAAACATTTAAAATATTTTTGAGCAGTAGACATGTCAGGCTAAATAATTAAAATAAATCATTGACTTCTGCAGTCTTCATTATTTTCAAAAACACATTTTAAAAACTTGAAAAGGCATCTTCGCAGATCTTTCTTTTCTTTGGATATAAAGTAAGCAACTGCACTGTGCTGGTATATAGCATGCTTGGATGTTGGTTTATAAGCTAAATAAAACTAAATAAAATAAAAAAAAACTTTAAAATACAACAAAATCTTAAATGTATCATAGGAAAGGTATAACAAAAAATGATAGCGGTTTTACCTTGAGTTTTTTCAAACCGTGATAAACCTTGAAATCGGTTATTGTCGCATGCTTACAAAGTAACAGATAATGTCATTAAAAATATGAGATTAATTTCAAAAATAAATGTCAAATATTTTGTTGTTCTTATTTATATTCTAAAAATATTAAAACCACCAATCTAACAGTGATTGAAACCTTAGTTAAAGACCTTTATTAGATTCATACACATGACAAATGTAAATACAGACACAATACCCATAATATTTCTTTCAGTTTTTAAAACAATAACTTTAAGACACAACGTAAATTAAAAACACAACATCCAAAATGCTTGTACAAATCATTCAGCCCACGAATACTTTTTTTTGTAAACAGCCTTCCATAAATAACCAAACGAGATGATAATAAAGAACATTAAAGTCGGAATTATTAGCTTCCCTGAATTATTAGCCCCCCCTGAATTATTAGCCCCCTGTTTATTTTTCCCCCAATTTCTGTTTAAAGAAGAGCAATTTTTTAACACATTCCTAAACATAATAGTTTTAATAACTCATCTCTAAAAACGTATCTATTTTATCTTTGTCGTGATGACAGTAAATAATAGACTAGATATTTTTCAAGACACTTCTATACAGCTTAAAGAGACATTTAAAGTCTTAACTAGGTTAATTAGGTTATCAGGTTAATTAGGCAAGTTATTGTATAACAATGGTTTGTTCTGGAGACTACTAAAAATATATATATATATATATATATATATATATATATATATATATATATATATATATATATATATATATATATATATAGCTTAATAGGGGTAATTATTTTGACCTTAAAATCTTTTTAAAAAATGAAACTGCTTTTATTCAAGCCGAAATAAAACAAATAAGACTTTAGAAGAAAATTCCCTGCAAACATCATTTGGGAAATATTTAAAAAAGAAAAAACAATTCAAACGGGGGCTAATTCTGACTTCAACTGTATATATGCTTAGAACACAGACTTACATCTTGACTATTTTGACCAGATATGCCCAAAGAAGGGCTCGCGGGACAAAGTTGGCCCATATTGGTTTGGCCCACCATCCCACCTGAAAAGAGGGGGAGAATGATAGGGAGGTTATTGAGGATTTAAAAAAAAAGACAACTAAAATTAAAAGTTTCAATTAAATGTTGAAAATAAATCAGACTTTTAAAACGTAAATACTGTCAATTGACAACACTAACGAGCAAATCAAGGCAAATTTTAAGGCAGCTCGACTAGTGTAATCAGCATTGAACTCCATGTTATAAATGGGATTGTTTATGTTTTTACTGTAATGTTCATTATATAATGCTAACAATGATACTGCATCTTAAATTAATAAGTTTAAAGCAATGTTATTTCTAGTTATTTTTAAATCTTAGCAAATTATTAGAAAATTACCCATGGCAAATTTAATATACGGTTTGGTGTATTTAGCTTTGGCACACAGCCCTCAATCAAGTTTGGTTTTTTGGCCTTTTATAAAAAAAATAAGTTTGGCCGCCCCAGATCTTGACAAATAGGCAAAGACTGTAGTCATTTTATCAGTTCGATTTCTCGACTATTGTTAAAAATCGACTGCGTGTCCCATAGTAACGTTTGTATCAAACGACTGCTCTTTGCTCGATTTATTAGTCTGTTGTTACCAGCTAGTCATGTTGCCATAGTATCATTAAACTGCGCGTGCGCTGTAGCTGTGTAGCGGGATGGCGGAGGAAAAAGCTGTCAACACAAACTTACGATTGTTGGATAAATAAGAGAAAGTGGATCCCTGAAGTAATGCGCTCTGTGAAGGTATAGCAACTCTTAACCCGTATGATAGAAACTGGTGAATAGAGACTGTTTTATTGCTGATAGTTTAACGCTAAACAGTGCGATTAGCCACTCGTCGATAGCGAAATAAAACTGCTTCAGTTAAACCTGTTCATTACTGTCATCTCATAATGTGAACACTGAGTCAAGCAGTACTTAATTAGTTATATTATGTATCGTTAACGCAGCCACGAGCTTCATTCTTCACAGTTTTAACACATGTACTGTCCATTTCCCTCATAAGAAAATAACTAAAGAAGACACTTGGAGGTCTGATGATTTAAAAGTGCACATTCAGGTAATCTGCAGTTTGCTTGTGTGCAAGTAAAAGAGATAGCTTAAATGCACAACCTGTTAAAATGCTATTGTTTCACCAGGCACACAATGAGGAGAGCAGAAGAAGATCCAAGCGAGTAGAGGAGCACAGAAAACACAGGGATGGAGAATCAGAGGATCGCAGACACAGAGATCCTGACCGAGATCCAAGGAGAGAGAAAGAAAAGCGGAGAGAACGAGAGGGGAGTAAACACAGAGATCCAGAGAGGGACAGAAACCAGGATATCAAACGGGAAGATGTCAGGGAGGATAGACACAAAGAGAGAAGGAGAGAGCGGGAGAAAGCGAGACATGGGGATGGAGATGAAGATGAGAAAAGATATAATAGAGATGATAAGGAAAATGGTGAAAGACGGAGGGATAGAGAGAAAGACAGGAATGTGGACATGTACAATCAGGAGGACAAGGAAAGAGAAAGAGATAGAAGGAGGGCTGAGAGAGCTCGAAGGAAAGAGGAGAGAGGAGAAGGAGAAAAAGAGGAGAGGGAAAGAGACAAAGAAAGAGAACGAGAGAGAAGAGAAAGACACAGAGCAAGAGAAAGTGACCGGTATAGACTTGAATATGATGAAAAGCAAAGAGAAGGAGAAAGGCGAGAGAGACACAGCGACAAAGAACACTCTGGGCACAAAGAAAGAGGTTTGGTTATAGCAGTTTATAAATAGTGATTTTTTTTTATTTCATTTAATTTTTTTCTGAGAGTGTGTAATGTATATAAGATCTCTTTTGTTTCAGAACACAGAAGGGATAGAGAAGATAAAGAGAGGAGGAGAAGAGATAAAGAAAGTCATGTAAGTCAAATCAAAGGTATTGCACTTACACTTACCGGCCACTTTATTAGGTGCACCTGTCCAACTGTCACATGGCAGCAACTCACTTCAGCAACGCATTTAGGCATATAGACATGGTCAAGACGATCTGCTGCAGTTCAAACCGAGCATCAGAATGGGGAAGAAAGGTGATTTAAGTGAGTTAGAATGTAGCATGGTTGTTGGTGCCAGACCGGCTGGTCTGAGTATTTCAGAAACTGCTGATCTGCTGGGAATTTTACGCACAACCATCTCCATGGTTTACAGAGAATCATCAGAAAAAGAGAAAATATTCAGTGAGCGGCAGTTCTGTGGACGCATATGCCTTGTTGATGCCAGAGGAGAATGGCCAGACTGGTTACAGCTGATAGAAAGACAACAGTAACTCAAATAACCACTCTTTACAACCGAGGTATGTAGAAGGGCATCTCTGAACACACAACACTTCAAATTTTGAGGTGGATGGGCTACAGGAGCAGAAGACCACTCTTGTCAGCTAAGAACAGGAAACTGAGACTACAGTTCGCACAGGCTCACCAAAATTGGACAATAGAAGATTGGAAAAATATTGCCTGTTCTGATGAGTCTTGGTTTCTACTGCGATATTTGGAAGGTCGTGTCAGAATTTGGCATCAGGAACATGAAAGCATGGAGGCCTTTCATCAACGGTTCAGG